CATCTAGCCAAGTGGTGAACTGCACAGGGCGGCCCTCAGCATCGAAGGACAGCACGCGGATGGAAGCCATCGCGACAGCACGTCAGAGCAAAGCAAGCAGCCGCAGCAGGGGAAGGCGACTGTGCACGGATAGAGAGCAGCGGGCGAGGCTGACGCTGTGAGCGGGCAGCGTGGCAGGTAGCGCGGCGGGCAGGCGGCGCTGCAAGCGGGCAGCGCGGCGGGCGGGCGACGCTGCGAGCGGGCAGCGCGGCGGACGGGCGGCGAGGCGGGCAGCGCAGCGGGCAGGCAGCGTTGCAAGCGGGCAGCGCGGCGGGCGGGCGACGCTGCGAGCGGGCAGCGCGGCGGGCAGGCGGCGCTGCAAGCGGGCAGCGCGGCGGGCGGGCGACGCTGCGAGCGGGCAGCGCGGCGGACGGGCGGGCAGCGCGAACGGGTAGCGCGGCGGACGGGCGGCGCTACTGGCGCACAGCGCGGCGGGTGGCGCGGCCGGCGGGCTGCGCTTACGAGTGGGCAGCACGGCGGGCTGCGCAGTGGGTGGGCGCGCGACGGGCAGTGCGGGCGGGTACAGCGCAGCGAGCGGGCAGCGCGACGGGCAGCGCGACGGGCAGCGCGGCGGGCGACGCGACGGGGAGCGGGACGGGCAGCGCTACGGGCGACGCGCGGCGCGACGGGCAGCGCCACGGGCGGCGCGACGAGCAGCGCGGCGGGCGAGGGCGCTAACGAGGGGCGCGCGTGTCAGAGGTCCACTGGGGATCCCCGATGATCCTAGGGAAGGGTTACAGGCATGTTGGCCTGGGGGGTTATGGGCGCACTCACCCGCTACACAAAACAAGCCCTTTTATCCCAGTGGTTAGTGGCTGGGATTCTGACATGGTATCAGAGCGAAGGTCTCGGGTTCGATTCCCGGTGTGTGCACTTCGGGCATCCCAGTGCGGGGGGGTGTCAGAGGTCCACTGGGGATCCCCGATGATCCTAGGGAAGGGTTACAGGCATGTTGGCCTGGGGGGTTATGGGCGCACTCACCCGCTACACAAAACAAGCCCTTTTATCCCAGTGGTTAGTGGCTGGGATTCTGACAGCGCGAGGGCGCTAACGAGGGCGCGCGAGGGCGCTAACGAGGGCGCGCGAGGGCGCTAACGAGGGCGCACGAGGGCGCTACGAGGCTAGGGCACGGGGTAGCGTGGTAACCGCATGCGAGCGGTGGTGGGCCCTAAAAAAAAAACGGTCGGTAGGTCCTAGGGACCTCCTGCTCTGAATACCATATCAACAGGACTAGGCAAGAATGATGCATTGAACTAGCAACAGTTGGGATACAAATATGAACCCTAGAATGTGTTGTACCCCATGTAAGCTACCCCACTACAGCCTACAGTACTACAGCAGGTATATATAATTTGACAGTGGCGTCGTGGGCAGTGGTTGCCGAAGTGGCCGAAGTGGTTGCAACATCCACTCTCATTATGAGAAACTCTTTTCAAGATGTGTGAAAATATTTCTAAGTAGTTTAAAAAGTTTCCATTTATAAGACTTATAAGACACCCTAAACCATCCCGTTTACAAGATAACTCAAGCATTTTTGCCCGTGTACGAGATAAGACATATATGTCTTATATCCGGGCGATGACGGTATTCGGAATGCATGAAAGTATCATATATTGAGTATACTCACCTGTCAGACATGCTGCTGTCCGTCGCTCACGCGCTGGCTGTCCCGCGATCAATCCGAAGGGGGATATCGGAAGGAAATTTCCAGGAACCTTCGTCTCGATACCCTCGCATTCAGGGTACACAGGACGCGTACTCTACATTGACAGAGTCGGTACGGTAAGAACACTACTCTGAGCCTGGATACAAGATTTCAGGGTTCGCTAAAGTCATTATCTGAATGGATCAGAGTTCACAAGTCACAAATTCTGAAATGGCAGGGACCACCAAGTGACAAGCCTGTAATCACCCTGAAATCAGGGTAATTACCCTGATAAAATCAGCCCTAGGTGTAAGCCTTTCCGAGACCAGGTTCTCCTCTTTCACAAAAATGACCGAGTAAATCAGTACCAATTTTTATTCCAACAATGAGGAATGTTTGCGTTTGTTTTTCTGACATGTTTTATGTTATCACGTAAGATCATATAAATTGGCTAGCAACTGGGACTAGTTGGAATGGCTGTCTCCTTTTGATGCATCTGAAGGCACATTGCAAGGTTGACTAAATATTTGTATATTGGTTCAGACCACAAGAGATGGATAGGACTTCCGGCAGACGTTCTCGCTACCTAGGAAAGCAAGGGATGGAAAATGGAAACACTCATACTTTTTTTTTATGTTAACCATATCAATAGGGCACACAACCTTGTGATGGGAACAGATTTTCAGAACATGGCACAATGTTATGTTTTGCAGCAGCTTACGTGTTCTGTGATGTTTTCGAGGTTTGGGGCTGTTTGACACGTCAGCGGCACAGCCCGAAATCCCAGCCCTGGCCCTCCTCACCTGCTTGCCTCCGCTTTTGATTGAACTCAACTCGAACCATGCACCCAGTCAGGTTGCGCCTGTGCCCCAGGCTCAGAGTCTCACATTCTTCACGGGGTCAAAGACGATTTAACACTGCTACAGAAAGTTTCCAAATGGTTGAATGTGGTTCAGTGGCTTTCTCGGTACACAACCATCAATCTGTGCTGGAAGTGCACTCCCTGATCTCAGTCCCAAACCAGACCAATTTCACGGAACGCCTTGGCACGCCTCGATGTACCCCGGTGCTCGGGTTTTGAAGCTTCCACGCATGCGGGAACCCGGTGCATCGCCTCGTCCCGGTACGTGCCGGGGCGTGCTGGGACGAGGCGATTCACCGACGCGTACTGGCACGCCCCGGGGCGTGCCCTGGGGCGCTCCAGCACGCGCGAATAGCCTGCGAACTCTTGGGATTTAGTTACTTGCCGAGTTTGTGGCGCGAGGATCTCGATGAAAGTGTTTTTTGATTGCGACATTACTTTGGGGGGATCAACGGCGAGATTTTCTTTTGCGAGCGGGTTGGCGGAAGTCAACTCTGTACACAACCTTGGGCGAATTTCGCATCTCAGCCTCTTGCCTTCGCCCATTGCTGGGCGAAGGCTCGATCCCAGTACTTGGAAGGATACTTGAAATTGACCTTGGGTAGAGAGGCGTGCCACGGGGCGAGCTGGGGCGCCCCGGCACGCCCCAGAACGCCTCGGTACACCAGGTCTGGACCCGTTCTGCATCACGTCCTAAGTTCTCTCTTCCGTGGATGGAGCTCCCCATTCCGAAATTATTCGAGCACCTCTAGAAATCGATGATAGCTTACTACGTCCGAGGATGAAGACGTATATACCTTCCACGAGACCGCGTTGATTTCTGCTAAGTCCTTGCTGCTACACTGCGTAATCCATTTCACAATTGCGCCAATAAGAGCCCGACTGTCAGGCGCTGACGTTCAGGTTGAGGGAACTCCGGCCTCAGCACCAATACGCACGATCATGGGAATCAGGAGCAGAGGACCGTCGTAAATAGGAGTCTTAGGTTCTAGCTTCTATGGCTTCTTGGTTGTCGTCTTCGACATGTATGTAACCTGAATTGGTCGCAGCCGCGTCCGGTCGCAGACTGGGTCTGGTCACCACCTTCCAGTCTGACTCAGCCCCCTGTCAGTCTGACTCAGCCACCATACAGTGTGACTCAGCAACGACTCATTCCGACTCAGACACCCCTCAATCTGACTCAATAACCTCTCTCGCCACGTCACATGACAGCAACTAGGCTTCCCTCCAACCTCTCCCATGTACTCGGCAACACCAGGGTCGGGCCTACCTGTTACAGGGGCCGTTGGCGGGAGAACAGGGACAGGACTACCCGTTACAGGGTTACCCATTACAGGCGGAGCCACTGGGAGCAGCACCACTGGAAACAGCAGCAGCGGCATCACCGGAGGTAGCGCCTCGTTTGCCGCTCCCTCCTCATCGCTGCACCTCTCCCCGCCTTTCCCGCGCCCTCCTGCATCTGCAACCGCCACCAGCACTACCATCAGCATCACCACTGGCGGCGGCGGCGGCGGCGCGACCAGCGCGTCTTCAGTAGTTGAGGACCAAGGCGGCGGAACCGCGACAGTCGCGTCGGGGTTCTCCCCGCATGTCTTTAATATCCCTTCGGGCGGCGCGGCGGTGGGCGGAGGCACGTCCACGTGGCTGCAGGCCGACCATCCACATCACCACCAGGTGCTGATCCCGTCCGCGGCGCACAAGCGCGCCACGTTCGTCTCGTCCGAAGGCGCGCAGCTCGCGGGCGGAATAAGCGGCGGAATTGGCGGCGGGATAGGCGGCGCGAGCGCCGGATTAGGTGGGGTGAATCTAGGCCCCCCAGTTTCGTCTCCCACCCCCGAAGTAATCACAATCACAGTCCCTCCTGCATGGGACGACCACCCCGCTACAGCGTCCTCGTCTGGGATTGGTCGGCCGGGGCAGCAAACTCTAGAACGCGAGCAGCCAATCCCAGCGCAGAGCTCGCGGCCGTTACCCGAAGGGCGGGCGAAGGAACCCAAAGAGAAGGACGAGAAGGCGGAGGAGGATTGGCGGAGAGGGCGCGTGAAGATCTCACCACACGATTACAGCCACGTGTCAGCAGCGTCCCAAGGGCTGTACGCGTTTGTAGAGGGTCTCGGTAAGCTACCGGGACGAGCTGTACATGCTATAGAGACGACGTTAGGGTTTCAGTTTTGGGGGGGTAGAAGAGGAGGCAGCAAAGGGGGAGGAGCTTCAGGTTCCAAGAGACCAGGCTTCAGACGAATCGGTTCCATCCCCAAATCCCCAACAATAACGAAAAACATAGGCAGCTTGACCTCCCTAGCAGACGCAGCCGCGTTATCCTCGCTCCCGGACCCGTCTATAACGAGTACACCACCAACATCAGCAACAGCAGCAGCCGCAGCAGCAGCTACACACTCGATAGCGGTTCTCTGGGAACACCACCATCGAGTGGACGTGCAAACCCTAAGCGCCATGCTGTTTTTCGCGCTCGTTCTGATCCTCTGGCATCTACGGGGCTTCAGATTCCTCTCAGTCTTCTACTGGTTTCCGCCTGACGAGGAGGATTACGAAACCCCCCCTGGGACCACCTGGGTAGAGCTTGTAGCGCTCTCTCTCCTCCTGCTGGGCGCTGCTGCTGCCCTCCGCTCTGCATTCCCCCGTTTTTTTGACCGCCTGGCGCTCCTGCTGCACACCGCGTTCCCCCGCTCCCGGCTCTTAGTTAAAAGGTTGCAGAGAGTGAAACGGGTGGTTGTGAGAGCGGTGGCGGACGGTACAGGGATTGGCAGGTTGGGGATTGGGTCTGGGCTGGGTCGGGGGGGAGGGGGAGGGGGAGGCGGAGGTGGAGGCGGAGGGGGGAGTATTCTCCCTTCCTGGGCGCACTACTTGCCGTTTGGGGGGCTGGGAGGGGGAGGGGGAGGGGCGGCAGCGGCAGCAGCAGCAGCTGGAGCGGGAATGGGGTATGCGTCAGGGCCTCGACCGTTCAGGCTGCGAGGGACAGGAGGCACGGGGAACTACTCTGCTCTGGATAAGAAGTTTGCATCTAGTGGGGGCGGCAGCTGGGAATATCTAGGGTACAGCCGCAGTGGCAGGGGCGGGGGTAGAGGGATCAGTAATAATAGTGGTTCTGGTGGTGATGATGGTGGTAGTGGCACTGGTGCAGCCGGTGAGAGAGACAGAGACAGGGAGGGTGGTTCGGATAGTGGGGGTGGGGAGGGGTCTTCCACAGCAGCTGCCGGACCTGCCGGTGCGGCGGGTCTTTCGTCTCGTAGCGCCTCCCGGGCGGCATCTGGGTGCGGGATCCACGTGTATGCCAATGGGGACCGGTACGAAGGAGAATTTTACCAGGGCAGATGCTCGGGCAGCGGCGTGTACATTTTTTCAGGCAGCGGGCGGTATGAAGGCGACTGGGTGGACGGAAAATACGATGGGTATGGGATTGAGACGTGGTCGCGGGGGAGTCGGTATCGTGGGCAGTACAGGAAGGGGTTGAGGGAGGGGTATGGGGTGTATCGGTTTTATACCGGGGATGTTTATGCGGGGATGTGGGCGAAAGGGCAGAGCCATGGGGTGGGCGTGCAGACGTGCGGCGATGGCAGCAAGTATGTGGGCGAGTTTGCTTGGGGCGCCAAGCATGGATTCGGCAAATATACCTTCAGGTGGGTGTGACAGGTCACAGCAGGGTTTGGGCCAAGCTTTGTGCACATGATCTGCATTGGAGCTCGATTTGCTGCTCGTGTCCTTGTTGTGGTTTTTCTCTCTTACCAGATTCGCTGTTGCTCCATTAGTCTCGTATTTTGCTGTGCGCGTACGGACACGCACAGAGATATGCTTGTTTTGGGATGACTCAAATACGCAAGCCTACCAGAAACGGAGAGACCTCTTACCCCCTTACCCCAGCCCCCTACCCCAACCCCTTACCCCAACCTCTCACCTCAAGCTCGTACTCCAACCTCCTACCCCGAACCTGTTACCCAACACCCCCACCAACAAACTCAGAAATGTCAACACGTATTTGCCGAATAATTTGCAGGGGAATAGTTTGCCGACCGCATGCACGGGTACGGCGTGTACGGGTTCAGCAACGGGCACCGGTACGAGGGTTGGCCACGATGGTCTCTCACCTCTTTCCTCAATCAACCCCCCTACCAGGAACGGAGACACCTACGCAGGATAATTCTTCGCAGACCGCATGCATGGGTACGGGGTGTATGAGTTCAGCAACGGGCACCGATTCAAAGCCATTCCTTGTTCTCCCTTTCCCCAACCCCCTCTTTACCAGGAACGGCGACACGTATGCAGGGGAGTACTTTGCCGACTGCATGCATGGGTACGGCGTGTATGAGTTCAGCAACAGGCACCGGTACGAGGGCAGCCACTATCCCCTCTATTCCCATTTCCCAATCAACCTCCCCCTCCCCACCAGGAACGGTGACACGTACGCAGGAGAATACTTTGCGGACCGCATGCATGGGTACGGCGTGTACGAGTTCAGCAACGGGCACCGGTACGAGGGTGCGTGGCACGAGGGGCGCAAGCAGGGCCTGGGCATGTACACCTTCCGCAACGGCGACATGCGCGCCGGCTACTGGCACCTTGGTGCCCTCGAAACCCGCAGCACCAACACCCTCCCCGCCTCGCCCACTGGGAGTGGCGCGGGTGGAGGAGGGACGGTGGGGGGTGGTGGGGGGGGTGGGAGTGGAGGGGTTGGGAGTGTTGGGGTTGGAGGTGCGGGTGGGGTGGGTGGTGGTGGTGGAGAGAGCGGGACGGGGGGAGTGGCTGGTGCATTGGGTGGTGGGGCAGGGGCAGGGGCAGGGGGAGGATCGGGGATGGTGGGAGGGGCGGCAGGAGGGATGGGAGGAGGCCCGGGAGGAGGGCCGGGGGTGTCGACAGAGTTGTTAGGAGGAGGTGGGGGCGGCAGTGGGTTGGTGTCGCCGGTACGGACTCCTTTGTCTGCTGGTGGGATGGGGCTGTCCACGCCACTCACTCCGCACACACCCCACTCTGCCTCGTCGCCCAACGCTGTCAACCACTCCCGCGTGCTGCATGCCGTTCAGGTGGGTGCTCAGGTGCTGCATGCCGTTCATATGGGTGCTCATGTGCTGCATGCCGTTCAGGTGGGCGCACAGGTGCTGCATGTTGTTCAAACATGCACTCAGGTACTCAGGTGGGTGCTCAGTTGTTTCCCAGGCATAGCGTACCGTTCCTTGCCTCTTCTCAGAGCTCTCCTGCTTCTCCTCGTCCACTGATTTGCTTGATATCTCCCAGGAAGCACGCCGGGCAGCAGCAAAGGCGGAGAATGTGTTGAGAGTGGATGACCGGGTGTCTAAGGCCGTGTCTGCAGCCAATCGAGCAGCCGTGGCAGCTCGAGTAGCAGCTGTGAAGGCCAATCAGAGAGGATCGAATCATTCATGATGCAATTCTGGGGCAATCTGTAGCCCTTGGTGCTACAGCTCCGGCTCTTGATGCTCGTAGTGTTATTGGCTGGAGCTGGAGTAGCGTGACGCCTTGTTTCATGGAGCACTATCTCATGTGTATGTATGAATTAGGAGAATTTTTGCGGGCACGGCAGTGTACATTGAAATAACTCGTTCAACGAAGTAACGACGTTCCCGTGAATCATGTGTGCGAAACAGAATCCTAGGCTGCCCCGCCCACCAGATTATCCTCAGGCCACAAAGCAAGACTGCCACTGTTCACCACACAAGCAAATCGCCGTGGCAGGTGCTCGCCCAATCATCTCACCGCCGCGTCACCACCATCACCCTCTGGCCTGGATGTTCGTTGAACCTCCTGGAACCGCGATGACTGGGAATGTGCAGGGCAGTTTCTTTCCCTCCTCCCACCAAACCTGCCTGCTGCGCCGCTCCTTCAGGCGACCAATGCCATCCGAATCTGTGTCAGTCGCTGCTGCCGCGATGTTGTTGACACCGCTGTTTCTGGTCGTTGAAGCTGACCTCCCCCATGCTGTACTCGGCAGTACAGTAGTTTATACCTGGTTATGCGATTACATTTGAAGGTATCATTGTCAAAGGTTAAGGCGTGGGACACTCTGGTAAGTTCTGGTAATGATTCAGGCTCGGAACTACAAGACTCTATTTATTCAACATCGAAAGAGCGGCAAACCATAAAAAATACGTCCAGAGCATCGTGAAAACTCCACTATAGGGTGAAACACCCCACCTTTGACAATCCATCCACATTCTGCGAGCCATTCCAAACCCACATCGCCCCACCTCACCTCACCTCACTGGTGTCGCATGGCCTTGCCTCTGCACTACTGTACAGTACGCATTCGCCGCCTTGGCATCACCTCCCTCACTTTCTCGCTCTCCTATTCCATTCCCTGTCTCCCATCCAATCCAAACCATCCCATCCATCCCTCCCTCCAGTGACTCGCCATTCCTGAACGAAGTCCATTCCCGAAGTCAGCACTTCTAGCAAGCTACCACCGCATGGATCTACGGAGGAGAATAACCTTTCCTTGAACTCTTCCCTGTGGCCTGATTCCGCCGTTGACTCGATTGTTCAAGATCCTGCTTACAAGGATGTGTAACTTGGTTATCTTGTAGAACTAGTCTTCTGACGTCACCTGATCAGCTGCGACGCTTCTATTACGTAGCGCTTCAGATTTTAGAGAAACTGCAGGTTGTTTCAATTCAGAGCATCTTTCTGAATTGAACTTCCACACCGAAGAGAACACATATCGTGATCATCCATCCAGGGCTTCTGTTTATGGCACTCTTTTCCGTGTGTGGCGGCTCGGCGTGTCCCTTCGTCCTAGGGCTCGGCGTCGCCACGTGTTCCTGCTCGCTCTGCACGGGTCTCGTGCTTGTCACGTGCGGCGACAGCCTCTACTCGCCGCTCAGCGCCGCGCCCGGCGCTCCGCGTGATAGCAATTCGTACGCGACGCGCAATTCTCTCAACGGAGCTTTCATCGGAAACAGCGCGGCGTTCGACGGGGGCTCGTCGTTTGGAGGGAGCGATCTCGTTTTCTCAGCAGACAAGGTCAGCCATCGAGATGTTCCGGTTCGAGTGTGGCGCGTGATCAACCGTCGATGCGCATGTTGCCGCAGGATTTTGTAGCTGGTGAACGGCCCGTATTTGTTTCTGACGTGCAGGAAAATATCGAATCAGATTCGCGATGTCGCCGAAAGAAAAGGAATAATTCACGGATATATCCGTGTCGTCGTTCCGAACGTCGTACAAAACGACTCCTTCCATGACTTCGCGTCTTTTCCGCCGTAATGAGCCGTGCGTCGTAGAAGGACATTCAATTACCTTCCAGCTCTTCAGGAGACACAGTGGCTGCACTGCTGCCTTCCGTCAGAACAGCTTTTGCGTCATGGTTGTTTAATTTCCGATTTTCCTACCGATCTCGACCCCCTACCCTACCCTACCCTCCGTTCTCGCTTTTCCGTACCTAACTGAAGAATTTTTCCCGATCTCTTACCTTCGGGTTTGGATTTTTGTGTTCCATTCCCATCTCGACCCTCTACTACTACCCTACCCTCCGTACTCGCTTTTCCTCATTTTTCCCTCCCTTCCTCCCTCCCCTCACCCCTTTCCTCCACCCGCCACGCACTGTCCGTTCCCCACAGCCTTGGACAGCGGATCAATACGCGGCGTATCTCGCGCGCGCTGCCCCGTCAACAAGTCGCATGTCGCGGTTAGCAAGCGATCATCATCACTCCCACTCGCTACGGTCGCCAGGCGCTCTCTCCCACTCACTGCTGTCGCCGGCTTCCCGTGCATCTCCTCTACACTCGCCGTCGCTCCAAGCGTCGCTGCTGTCGTCGCGGCAATTCCGGTCCTTATCAAGCTCTTGAGCGGGGGGAATCTACAACAAGGCCAACACACTGAACTAGACACACGATACAGGTACTCGGTCTCAACAGACCTTTTTACTGATAGGGACAAGGATTTGATGTGGGTAAAGCTAGCACTGTGTCTCTGGAATCCGCTCATTCTCTTCTCATCTACCTCTACCCTATAGCCACAAGACCTCCCCTCCCCACCTCTCCCCCACCCAACCTGTCCTGTCCTGTCCCTCCCAACCTCATGCACACATTGCTTCAAGCTCCCTTGTCATAGGCTAGCTTCTTGGTGATTCTTATGTGCATTGATAGGCTCGCATGTCACAATTGACTTCTGAGCCGTATATGCCCAGTTGTCACTTCTATGCACCCAGTGAGGATATGGTCTCAAATCATGCGCCTTTCTTCTCTCTATACATTGCTTGCAGGTTACTCCCTTGTTGCTTGTTGTAGGTCTATTAGTGTGTGCAGTCATATTATATAAATAAGGCTGTATGCTCTGGGCATTTCTGTAATTTATTCACCAATAAGCAAACAAGATGTGAGGGACTATAACCTGGCTCCCCCCCACCCTACCCAGTTCTGGAATGGACACTGTACGAGTAAATTATTTTATATAATCACTGTAGAAACCGTATACCCCGTTACAACGCTTCACTCAATACAGCCCTTTCGCGGCCCTTCTGCGCAAATCAGAGAGCTTCGGGGCCAACGATGTTGGGAGCACACATGACGATAGCCGTCCATTGGTCAGAGATTGAGATTCTGTTGCCTCGGGTTTGACCGAGGCTCAGTGTGCGAACATCTTTAGCCCCGAACCTGAGGTCCCACTTCTCGAGCCGTTGGGAACTCCCGTCCCCCGAACATCGGGAATTCCCAGCTTCGTTTTTTCAGGCATCGCAATCAGGCGATTCCATCCTAGAACTTCCCACCTGGTAAATAGGCTCATTACCCAGCAAATATTCCTTTTCCTCCTACAGTTCTGCATCTCCCACTCTTGGCAACCTGAAAGCGTGGACGTAAACACCTCCGTTTCCGTTGAAGAATTTACATAAATATTTATTACTACGAGCTTTCCCGTTTTGTCTCTCTCTGGCAGAGAGCCTCTTTTCGCTCGTTCGCCTGCTATGTCGCAGGAGCTCGCGAAACCCGTTAGCATTCTGCGCGGTAGTCCGTCGATTTCGCTGCTCACCGCTCCCACGTCGCTCCTCCGCAATGGCAGTGTCGCGCGAGTCCCCACCAGAGCGCCGCGATCTGTCAGCTCAGTGCGGTCCAGGAGGAGAAACATGAGCGCAAGAGCCCTTCAGGGAAATAGCGCAAGAGCCCTGGAGGGAAATAGCGCAAGAGCCCTTGAGGGAAATACACAGTGGGTTTCTTGGGTGACTCCGTCGCTTCTTGCTGCCTCCGCCCCGTACTCGTCCTCCTCCTCTGCTCCCCGTCCTGCTCGCCGGCCAACCACAGCCGTCCGTGCGGGCCGAGGGATCAGCCACGTGGACGGCCTGGATCCAGAGGAGTTCAAGAACGCGCGGATCACGGTGACGGACGACGGGATAATCTTTTCGGTGGTGGACGATGGGGAGGCAGATGGGGGGGACGAGGTTCCAGAGGGTGTGTGGGAGGGGGAGGAAGGAACAGAGGGAGAGGAGAGGTCGGCTGTGGGTGCGGTGGAAGAGAATGGAAGGGATGAGGGTTGGAATGCGGAGGACGAGGAGGGGGAAGAGGAAAGCGACGGGGAGGAGGCGGCGGCGGGAGTGATGCAGGAGGCGCAGAGGGTGATGGAAGAAGCGGCGAAGCTTCTCAGCGTGGCGGAGCGACCCGTGGTTGATGTGGCCGTGAGTGACGGTGAGGTGGAGGACGCGGAAGACGCGGAAGAGGATAACGAGGCGGAGGAGGAAGAGGCGGAAGAGGCGGTAGAGGAGGAAGAGGATGAAGAGGCAAAAGAGGTGGAAGCGGCCGAAGAGGAGGGCGTGATGGAAGAAGGGGAGCAGGTGGGCGCAGGGGAGCAGGTGGGCGCAGGGGAGCAGGTGGGCGCAGGGGAGCAGGTGGGCGCAGGGGAGCAGGTGGGCGCAGGGGAGCAGGTGGGCGCAGGGGAGCAGGTGGGTGCACGGGACAGCAAGAGGGCGGTAAATGCGTTGGAGGAGGAGGGGCCCATTGTTTATGACCCGCCACCGCTAGCGGACTTGGGTGTGGGTCTGGAGGGGACGCTTGGCGCCACCAATGCAGGTAGCAGTCCCATTGCGGACAGCAGCTTTGATACCGGGGGTGGGCGGGACGACACGGGGGAGGTAAAGGTGTTGGAGGAGGAGCCGCTTATTTATGACTCTCCACCGCCAGCGGGCTTGGGTGTGGGACTGGAGGTGACGCTTGGCGACGCCAATGCTGCTGATAGCAGTCCTGTGGCCGACAGCAGATATGGTGCTGATGTCAGCTACGACGATGCTGATGTCAGCTACGATGGTGCTGATGTCAGCTACGATGATGCTGATGTCAGCTACGTTGTTGATGTCGCCAGTTCCGACGCTGACGTCAGCTACGGTGCTGATGTCAGCTACAGCGCAAGCAGCAACTACACAGCTGGCAACAGCAGCAGCCTTGGCAGCAGCATTTTCAGCAGCAGCGGCAGCAGCAGCAGCAACAGCAGCTGCACGTGGCAGCAGCCTTGGCGGCACGGAGGTGGATCTAGAGGAGGAGGAGAGGCGCGTGGCAGAGCGACTCAAGACCCTGGCGGGGTTGGCACTGGGGGTTGAAGAGGGAATAGCAGTGAGGGGAGAGGATTTAGGGTTTGGTGAAGTGAGGCGGGAGGATGCCGTGGGACGGCAGGAGGCAGAACAGGGCGCAAGGATGGAGGAGATGCGTCTGAGAGCAGACAGTGCCGCGGCTGCTGCAGCAGCACAGCAGCAGAGAGAGGCAGTAGCTGCAGCTGAAGCAGACGCAGCAGCAGCAGCGGCGGCAACAGCAGAAGCAGCAGCAGCAGCAGCAGAAGCAGCAGCAGTAGCAGCAGCAGCAGTGGCAGCAGAGGGGGAAATGGAGGAGACAGTGAAAGAGAGAGAGGCTGCTGCGAGGGAGGTGCAGGAGAGGAGCCAGCAGGAGCAGCTGCAAAGGGTAGAGGCAGAGGCGGAGGCAGAGGCAGCAGCAGCAGCAGAAGCAGTGGCAGCAGCAGTAAAAGCATTGGCAGCAGAAGCAGCAGAGGCAGCAGCACAAAGGGAAAGGGAGTTAGATGAGGCTGCAGCGAAGGAGAGAGAGGCTGCTGCGAGGGAGATGAGGGAAAGGAATCGACTGCAGAAGCTACAGGCACTCCAGGCAGAGCACGAGTTTGTCACAGCAAAAATGTTTTTCTACCCCGAGGCCGGGCAGGTCCGGGCTGGCGAAAGCGTGGAGATTTTTTTCCACCGCCCGGCGAGCGCGCTGAAGGAAAAGGCAGGGATTTTTGTCGTTGGTGCTTTTAACGAGTGGCAGTGGGAGCCGTTTAAGTATGAGCTGAAGCCTTCTAACGAGGTGGCAAATGACTGGTGGACGTGCAGTGTGACTATACCAAAGGAGGTCTATCAGATGAACTTCGTTTTCCACAGCAGTGACAACGTATATGAGAACAACGAGGGGCGAGATTTCTACATCTCAATAGATGGGGGCATGGAGGAGGACGAGTTTGAGCGGTTTTTGAACGAGCAGAAGCAGAGGGAGGCGCAGGAGAGGGCAGCAGAGGAGGCAGAGAGGGAGCGGAAGGCAGAGGAGGAGAGGAGGGCCGCCCTGCTGCGAGCCCAGCAGGAGGAGGAACGGGCGACGGCCCAAGCAGTGGCTGATGAGGCTCGGCAGAGGCTCGGGCCGATCTGGGAGAATGCAGGGGTGGGAGAGGAAGGGGTGTGGCGCCTGGAGGTGAAAGAGGGGGCGGAAGGGGGAGGGAAGGTGGGAGGAGAGGGGGGGGATGGAGGGGAGGGAGGGGAAGTTGAGAGGAAGGTGGTGGTGAGGGTGGAGTATAATCGGGCAGGGAGGCCTCTGGCAGGGGCGGGGGAGGTGTGGCTGCACGCAGGGGTGAATGGGTGGCAGGGCGGCGTGTCTGTTGTGGAGAAACTGGAGCCTGCTACTAACGAGGATGGCGAGTGGTGGGGTGTGGAAGGTGCGTGGTTGGTTGTGGGGCATCAGAGTACAGACGGAAACTTTCTGAATGCATTGCAGGCTGCCTCCCTGCCCCATATGCGATCACTCTGCCTCTTGGCCTGCCCCACATGCACTCACTCTATACCCTGTTAGCCTCTCACTCTATACCCTGTTAGCCTCTCACTCTATACCCTGTTAGCCTCTCACTCTATACCCTGTTAGCCTCTCACTCTATACCCTGTTAGCCTCTCACTCTATACCCTGTTAGCCTCTCACTCTATACCCTGTTAGCCTCTCACTCTATACCCTGTTAGCCTCTCACTCTATACCCTGTTAGCCTCTCACTCTATACCCTGTTAGCCTCTCACTCTATACCCTGTTAGCCTCTCACTCTATACCCTGTTAGCCTCTCACTCTATACCCTGTTAGCCTCTCACTCTATACCCTGTTAGCCTCTCACTCTATACCCTGTTAGCCTCTCACTCTATACCCTGTTAGCCTCTCACTCTATACCCTGTTAGCCTCTCACTCTATACCCTGTTAGCCTCTCACTCTATACCCTGTTAGCCTCTCACTCTATACCCTGTTAGCCTCTCACTCTATACCCTGTTAGCCTCTCACTCTATACCCTGTTAGCCTCTCACTCTATACCCTGTTAGCCTCTCACTCTATACCCTGTTAGCCTCTCACTCTATACCCTGTTAGCCTCTCACTCTATACCCTGTTAGCCTCTCACTCTATACCCTGTTAGCCTCTCACTCTATACCCTGTTAGCCTCTCACTCTATACCCTGTTAGCCTCTCACTCTATACCCTGTTAGCCTCTCACTCTATACCCTGTTAGCCTCTCACTCTATACCCTGTTAGCCTCTCACTCTATACCCTGTTAGCCTCTCACTCTATACCCTGTTAGCCTCTCACTCTATACCCTGTTAGCCTCTCACTCTATACCCTGTTAGCCTCTCACTCTATACCCTGTTAGCCTCTCACTCTATACCCTGTTAGCCTCTCACTCTATACCCTGTTAGCCTCTCACTCTATACCCTGTTAGCCTCTCACTCTATACCCTGTTAGCCTCTCACTCTATACCCTGTTAGCCTCTCACTCTATACCCTGTTAGCCTCTCACTCTATACCCTGTTAGCCTCTCACTCTATACCCTGTTAGCCTCTCACTCTATACCCTGTTAGCCTCTCACTCTATACCCTGTTAGCCTCTCACTCTATACCCTGTTAGCCTCTCACTCTATACCCTGTTAGCCTCTCACTCTATACCCTGTTAGCCTCTCACTCTATACCCTGTTAGCCTCTCACTCTATACCCTGTTAGCCTCTCACTCTATACCCTGTTAGCCTCTCACTCTATACCCTGTTAGCCTCTCACTCTATACCCTGTTAGCCTCTCACTCTATACCCTGTTAGCCTCTCACTCTATACCCTGTTAGCCTCTCACTCTATACCCTGTTAGCCTCTCACTCTATACCCTGTTAGCCTCTCACTCTATACCCTGTTAGCCTCTCACTCTATACCCTGTTAGCCTCTCACTCTATACCCTGTTAGCCTCTCACTCTATACCCTGTTAGCCTCTCACTCTATACCCTGTTAGCCTCTCACTCTATACCCTGTTAGCCTCTCACTCTATACCCTGTTAGCCTCTCACTCTATACCCTGTTAGCCTCTCACTCTATACCCTGTTAGCCTCTCACTCTATACCCTGTTAGCCTCTCACTCTATACCCTGTTAGCCTCTCACTCTATACCCTGTTAGCCTCTCACTCTATACCCTGTTAGCCTCTCACTCTATACCCTGTTAGCCTCTCACTCTATACCCTGTTAGCCTCTCACTCTATACCCTGTTAGCCTCTCACTCTATACCCTGTTAGCCTCTCACTCTATACCCTGTTAGCCTCTCACTCTATACCCTGTTAGCCTCTCACTCTATACCCTGTTAGCCTCTCACTCTATACCCTGTTAGCCTCTCACTCTATACCCTGTTAGCCTCTCACTCTATACCCTGTTAGCCTCTCACTCTATACCCTGTTAGCCTCTCACTCTATACCCTGTTAGCCTCTCACTCTATACCCTGTTAGCCTCTCACTCTATACCCTGTTAGCCTCTCACTCTATACCCTGTTAGCCTCTCACTCTATACCCTGTTAGCCTCTCACTCTATACCCTGTTAGCCTCTCACTCTTCCCCTCGTTCACTTTTCCACCCAATTTTGCCCCACATGCATCCACTTCACCGAGCTGACTTCTGAGTCGACTCAAAAGTCAGCCCCACATGCATCCACCTCACCTGTTTGCGGATGGGCTGGTGGGGAGAGCGGGCACGTGGGACAATAACAGCAGCAAGACATTTCCACCTATTACCCCCTCCCTCCTTCCCTATCCCCTCCACACAGTCTCTCTTCCCCAGGACACAGTGGCGCTCAACTGGGTGTTTGCAGATGGGCCGGTGGGGAAAGCAGGCGTGGGACAACAAGAGCCATAAGACCTTGCCCTATTCCTCTTCCCTCATCCCTCTTCCCCTGTCTCTACCTCACAGTCTCTCTACCCCGGGACGCAGTGGCACTCAACTGGGTGTTTGCAGATGGGCCAGTGGGGAAAGCAGGAGTGTGGGACAACAACAGCAGTTAAACTTTCTCTCCTAATGACTCCTTTCCTGTTCTTCCATCCCTCCAATGCAGTCACCCTTCCCCAGGACGCAGTGGCACTCAACTGGGTGTTTGCAGACGGGCCGGTGGGGGAAGCAGGCGTGTGGGACAACAACAGCCGGCAGGACTTTGCTGGGCGGATTGGCAGCGCGGAGAGGATTGAGGCTCTGTTTGAGGGGATGGCGGCGGAGTGCCTGCAACGGCTGGAGCAAGAAAGGGAGGAGCGTGAGGTGAAGGAGGCTAAGGAGGTGAGTGGAATGGGGCTTTAGGGTGGTGAAGAATTGTGGGAAGGATTGAGGCTCTGTTTGAGGAGATGGCGGTGGAGTGCCTGCAACGGCTGGAGCGGGAGAGGGAAGAGCGCGAGGCGAAGGAGGCTGAGGAGGTGAGTGGAGAGGGAGTTTTGGGGCGGCTATAGCGGAGAGGATTGAGGCTCTGTTTGAGAGGATGGCGGCGGAGTGCCTGCAACGGCTGGAGTGTGAGAGGGAGGAGTGGGATGCAAAGGAGGCCGAGGAGGTGAGCAGAAAAGTTTCTGTGTTCAGAAGTATGGGATCGATATGGGACAAGTATGGGAGAAGGCATCGATATGGAATGGGGCGAAGTACTTGTGAAGTGAGGTAGACACCAAGGGCCCAAGGAGGCCATGATATGCTCGGGGGAGAGGTCTTGGAGCATTTTCAAGACAGCTTGGAACTTGCTGAAGGACTTGGCAATGCAGTGCAGATCGTGTCCGGGTTGTGAGGCGCCTCAAATGGCGTGTTTGAAAGACGTCACAGTTCAGTTCAGTGCAGACCCAAGCACACGTGCTCTTCGTTGGGCCAGCGAAACTGATCTCTATCATGTGTTTCCGGTTCCCCTTCTTCTTTTGCCCATTCCTCATTGCAGGCAGCTAGGCATGCAGAGATGAAAGCAGCCATGAAGGCTTTGATCAAACACTGCAGTCACAGGCTTTGATCTTTGATCTCTCCTCGCACCAAGGCAGTGTTCCTGCAGTCCCAGGAACACGTGTTCTTCACTGAGCCAGCACAACCGACCCTTATCCCCCCCTCCCTTTCCCTCATTACTCCCTGCAGGCAGCGCGGCGTGCGGAAATCAAGGCAGCCATGAAAGCTCGCACCAAAGCCGTCTTCCTGCAATCTCAAGCACACGTGTTCTTCACCGAGCCAGCAGAGCCGAGGGCGGGAGAGGCAGTGCGTGTGTATTACAACCCCAGCGGCACGGTGCTGCAGGGGAGGGAGAAGGTGTGGATGCGCGGGTCGTTCAACCGCTGGACCCACCGCTCGGGGTGCTTCCTGCCCATTCTGATGGAGCCTGCTGACAATGGCACTCACCTTGTAGCTGAAGGTGAGATCGAGGATTGTGTACTGCCTAAAATAAAATAGCATAGAATGTAGTTGTGAAGTACAGAAGCCAACAACTTCTGGGCCCACCGCTCGGGGTGCTTCCTGCCTGTTCACACGCTGCCCGCTGAGAAAGCCACACTCGCTTTGTGGCTGAAGGTGAGACGGACGTTAAGGGGTGGAGAAGTGGTGTTGCCGCAGGGTTGTTGTGTGCCTGTCTCACATCCCCTAAATCCACACGTCTGCCAGTTCCCGTGGGCCGTGTCTCAGGACGCGCACATAATGGTTCTGATGTTCGGGGACAGCAGCGACCCGTCTTACCTCTCTCTATCCTCCATGCTCTGTCTCATGCGTCCATTCAACCACTCCCTCCCCTCCTCTGCCAGTCCTCGTGCCCCAGGATGCGTACATCATGGACCTGGTCTTCATGGACAGCAGCGACCCCACCACGGCCACGTACGACAACCGGGGAGGGCTGGACTACCACGTGCCCGTGGCGGGCAGCACTGTGAGGGAGCCGCCTCTCTACATCGTGCACGTGGCTCTTGAGATGGCGCCCGTTGCCAAGGTGAGACAGTGGGGTGGGTGGGGTGGGGTGGAGGAAGAGGGGGGGGGGGGGGGGACTAAAATGGACAGCAAGGGTTATTATATTCGAAGTGTTGAAGTCAAGCCGCCCTGTGGCCTGGAGATGGCGACTGCAGCCAAGGTGAGGGGAGGGAAGGGAAGGGGGTTGCAGTGGGCTGGAGGAAGGGAGGGAGGGAGACGTAGGGGGGCTGCAGTGGGCTGCAGTGGGCTGCAGTGGGGTGGAAGGAGGGGGAGACTACCATGACGTTGTAATGCCCCCCTTTCCTACACTGAAACACCTTCTCTCTTCCATGCCATCCCTTTTTGAGGTGCCTCAAAAAAGTGGGGTGGAAGGAGGGGGAGACGACCATGACGTTCTGACGCCCCCCTTTCCTACACTGAAACATCTTCTCTCTTCCACCCATGCCATCCCTTCGCCGCACCAGGTGGGGGGTCTGGGAGACGTGGTGACATCGCTGTCGCGAGCCACAATGGAGCTAGGGCACCGTGTGGAGGTGGTGCTACCCAAATACGACTGCCTCAAATACGACCAGGTGAGCCGAGGGTTCGGGGTGCGGGGGGGCTCTGTGCGCTTGAGCTACGACTAGGGTTTGAGAGATGCCGAGTTCAGTGAGCTCTGAAGGAGCTGGGCCACAGGGTGGAGGTGGTGCTACCCAAATATGACTGCCTCAAATACGACCAGGTGAGCCGAGGTCTTGATATATTGGAGTAGCTTCTGAGAGTTTTCGAAGGCCGCTCCATGTGTGGCTTGAGCCACAATGGAGCTGGGCCACAGGGTGGAGGTGGTGGTGGTGCTGCGTAAATACGACTGTCTCAAGTGCACCCAGGTGAGTCGAGGGTTGAGTTTGAGCTGCAGGGCTTGGTGTGGTGGGTTTGGTGTTGTGAGATATGAAGGAGGTGGGCCACCGGATCGGCTTTTGAGTGGACGATAAAAGCTGGGTGCGGTGCGGCGCGGTTCGGGGCCACGTGTGCCCATGCTAGCGTTTGTGCCAGATTGCAAGTCACAGTGCTTGATGCCCATTGCCCATGCTGTCCTGTCGTGTTTTCCCCCCACAGGTGCAAGGGCTTGAAGCAAGGGGTGATTTCATGTGGGGTGGCACGCGGTGGCTGGTGTGGCACGGGCGTGTTGAGGGCATCCCTGTGCATTTTCTTGAGCCGGAGAGCGGGTGAGTCGCAGGTTGTTCCTTTTTGGGCTCTAGGAACAAGAGTGCGCGAGGCCTCCCTGTGCTTTGCGGCCTGACATGAGGTAAGGCATAATATCTTTCGTTGAAATCTCGACTAATAGAAAGGATGCACATGTTTTCCTAAGACAAAATATGAAGTTGTTTTCTTCTTGTTCTTTTTTATTCTCGATTCCTATGCATCCCTTCCCTCCCTCCCTCTCCCGCGCCCCATCTTCACATGTCTGGGTTGTTCTGGGTGGGGGGATGCATCTATGACTTGTCTTCGTGTTTGCAGCCTCCTCAACCGTCCCTCCCTTCCCCTCTTCCCACTTCCCCCCTCCCCTTCTCGTGTCTTTTTCGACCCATTCCCCATTTTCCCTGCTCCTTTGTCCCTATGCAGGCTATTCTGGGTGGGGTGCATCTATGGCCGCAAGGACGACGCTGCCCGCTTTGGCACATTCTGCCATGCAGCACTGGAGTTCCTGCTGCAGACCGGCCGCTCCCCGGTATGCTATGCCCCACACCCCATAGCACACACGCTGCTCCCTCGATGGGTGTTTTTGAGAGCTGAAAAACGCTACTGTCACACGGCCCTGGAGTTCCTGCTGCAGACCGGCCGCTCCCCAGTGCGTCCTACACCCCATTACACTTAGGCTGCTCCCTAGTAGAGTGGTTGTGCAAGATCTTAAAGCCCCTGCCACTCGACCTTCGAGCAGCCTGCCTGCTGCAGGAGCTTCACCCGATTTTGAGTCGACTCAAAAGCAGAACATCGGGTGCTCGAGTTTCGAAACCCATCGACTAAAGAAAAGCCTCGCCTCAAAATCGCGGCAATACGAGTTTGTTTGTTCCCTTATAACCCACCCCCCTTCCCTCCTCTCACTTCCTTCTCGTTCTTTCTGCCTCGTTCCACGCCCCTTTATACACTGGTTGTTTCAGCGTCTCAAGGTCCCTCCTTCCCTTCTGCCCCAATCAGGACTTGCTGCATTGCCATGACTGGTCATCAGCGCCAGTGGCATGGCTACAGAGGGAGCAGTACAGCGGGTGGGGAGGGGTGACGCGGGCTAGTGTCATGTGTTGAGACGCCTCAAAACTCCTCTCCGTTTCTTGGTCCCCTCTCAACCCCACCCAGGATCTCCTGCATTGCCATGACTGATCGTCAGCGCCAGTGGCGTGGCTGCAGAGGGAGCAGTACAGTGGCTAGGGTTGGGGGGGGGAGTTCAGTCGAACGTCATTCTTCAGACGTTTCAAAGGCCCTTCTGCCTCTTGCCTTCCTCTATTTCCCCCCCCCTTTGCCCCCAACCTCTCCCAGGACCTCCTGCATTGCCACGACTGGTCGTCAGCGCCAGTGGCGTGGCTACAGAGGGAGCAATACAGCGGGTACGGAGGGGGCAATGCTTGCACGGTCTTCACCATTCACAACCTCGAGTTCGGGCAGGACATGATTGGCCGCGCCATGGCTGCATGCGACATGGCCACCACTGTGAGTGGAATGCGATGCGCACCATGTGCGTCTGGCGAGTGTGGCTGGTGCGAGTGTAGCTGTGACTCTGCTCACATACAACAATGCTCACATACAACAATGCTCTCACAATGGTGGCTTTCAGAGCTGTTCCCATACCTGTTCCCATACCTGTTCCCATACCTGTTCCCATACCTGTTCCCATACCTGTTCCCATACCTGTTCCCATACCTGTTCCCATACCTGTTCCCATACCTGTTCCCATACCTGTTCCCATACCTGTTCCCATACCTGTTCCCATACCTGTTCCCATACCTGTTCCCATACCTGTTCCCATACCTGTTCCCATACCTGTTCCCATACCTGTTCCCATACCTGTTCCCATACCTGTTCCCATACCTGTTCCGACCATCCCCTCCTGCTATTGGTGTGACCCACATATGCTACACACCGAGATGACCCGAACGCCAGTCAACGGAGCAGATGGGCATGCGAAGTAACTTTTCTTGTGCCTACCTCCTCTCTTCACTCCGCCCCCCCCTCCCCACTGCCCCTTTTTCTGCAGGTGTCACCCACGTACGCGGCGGAGATCAGTGGGCATGCATCATTGGCAGCACACTGGGCAATCTCCACCTTCCCCTCTACTTCCCCTCTCCTTCCCCTCTCCTGCTTATCTCCTCAACTCCCCTCCTCCAGGTGTCACCCACATATGCGGCGGAGATCAGTGGGCATCCGGCAGTGGCAGCGCACAGGGGGAAGTTCCACGGAATTCTCAATGGCATCGACCCGGACCTCTGGGACCCCATGGGCGATCCTTTCCTCCCTGTGAGTTCCCTTGTGCCATTTAATGCCATGCCACCTGGTGATGCTTATATCATGCCATTCAAATCACTTGTGCATGTTGCTCACATTGTTCCATTTATATCATTCCATTCTCCCCCCCCCAGATGAAAGACTCGTCTGCAGAGGTGGTTGAGAGCAAGCACGCAGCCAAGGCAGATATGTGGATTTTACTCATGAGAATTCTCAAAAGTAAAATCCACATAGCAAGCACGCAGCCAAGGCAGATATGTGGATTTTACTTATGAGAATTCTCAAAAGTAAAATCCACATAGCAAGCACGCAGCCAAGGCAGAGCTCCGCGCACGCCTCAACCTGCACTCCTTCCCTCCAGCCGAGGACTGCCCCCTGGTGGGGATAGTGACTCGCCTGACAGCACAGAAGGGCATAGCGCTCATCAAGCACGCCCTCTTTTCCTTCCCCACCCTGTCCCTCCCACCAGCCCCGTGCTTCTTGCATCCTCCTGTCTTTCCCGTACCCACCCCACCCCCTTCTGTCCCCACCCCCTTCTGTCCCCGCCCTTCCTCCTTCTCATCTCAGATGAAGTATTCCTCTGCAGAGGTCGTGGAAGGAAAGCAGGCAGCCAAAGCAGAGCTCCGTGCGCGTCTCAACCTGCGCTCTTTTTCTCCCTCAGAGGACCGGCCCCTGGTGGGGATAGTCTCGCGCCTGACAGCGCAAAAGGGCATAGCGCTCATCAAGCATGCGCTGTGGCGCACGCTGGAGAGGGGCGGCCAGGTGGTGCTGCTGGGGTCAGCGCCTGACGGGCACGTGCAGGGCGAGTTTGAGGCGCTCGCGAGGGATCTGGGGCGGTCACACGGGGACATGGCCAGGCTGTGGCTGACCTATGACGAGCCCTTGTCACACCTGGTGAGTGCCTCGCTTTGTGGTGAGTTCCTGTTGTAAGTGCATGGCGTGAGTGCGTGGGGTGTGTGGCTGTGTGTGGGAGGCTGTGCGCTCATCAAGCACGCCCTGTGGCGCACGTTAGAGAGGGGCGGGCAGGTGGTGCTGCTGGGTTCGGCACCTGACGGGCGTGTGCAGGGCGAGTTTGAGGCGCTTGCGAGGGACCTGGGGCGGTCGCATGGAGACATGGCCCGGCTGTGGCTCACCTATGATGAGCCGCTATCGCACCTGGTGGGTGTTTGTGTTGTGTGTGCATGTGTGGTGAGTGCGTCGGGTGAGTGCGTATGGTGAGTGCGTGGTGTGAGTGGCTGTGTGTGTGACCATGTTACCAGCTTGAGTGGCCCCCTCCTTTCCAGAGTGTGCGGCCAGTGACATGATTCTCGTCCCCTCCATCTTTGAACAGTGCGGGCTGTTTTTGAGGTGCCTAGAACATGATTTCCTTTCCTCCTCTCCCCTGACTCCCTTGCTCCCCTGCCCCACAGATCTACGCAGCCAGTGACATGATTCTCGTCCCCTCCATCTTTGAGCCGTGTGGGTTGACGCAGCTGGTTGCAATGCGGTACGGAGCGGTGCCAGTGGTGCGGAAGACGGGCGGGCTGAGGGACACAGTGATGGACGTGGACAGTGAGGAGGACAAGCAGCGGGCGGCAGAGAGGGGCATGGAGCCCAATGGGTTCTCCTTTGAAGGTGCCGATGCTGCTGGCGTTGACTATGCCCTCAACAGGTGGGTCTCCTGTGAGCGGGACTCTAGTCTGTGCGTGTGTGTGGTTCAGGTGGGTGCGATTTCTGAGTGGTTTTGGAGGTATACTTTTACTGGGTATGCCTCTAGTGGGAGGGCTGAGGGACACAGTGATGGACGTGGACAGTGAGGAGGACCGGCAGAGAGCAGCAGAGAGGGGCATGGAGCCCAATGGGTTCTCCTTTGAAGGAGCTGATGCTGCTGGCGTTGACTATGCCCTTAACAGGTGGGCTTCTTCTGGGTATGAGTCATGTGCGTGTGATATTCTGCTGCATGCGCTATTCTGCTGCATGCGCTATTCTGCTGCATGCGCTACCGTATTCTGCTGGGTCTGTTTCTCATCAAGAGCTGCCTTTTGGTCCGTCTCGTGCATCTCGCTTGAAATATTCACCCGCGTTTTCGTTTTCTCTCCCCACGTATCTCCCCTTGCCCATCAGGGCAATCTCGGGCTGGTACGACGGGAGGGAGTGGTGGCAGGGCCTGGCCCGCCGAGTCATGGAGCAGGACTGGACATGGAACCGCCCCGCTCTTGATTACCTCGAGCTCTACTATGGCGCTCGGAAATAGTCTGTCCGTGTCAAGCGTTTTCGTCTGATGGTTGGTAGGACATGCCTCCGCTCGGCTCAAATTGCACCTGGCGAAGCGGGTCGTGGAGCAGGACTGGACGTGGAACCACCCTGCTCTTTATTACCTCGAGCTTTACTATGGCGCTCGGAAATAAGAATACAAGTTTTATTGTATGTAGCATATTATTGTGCTCGGACATCAACGGTCAATATTTATTATGGTGTCGTGCTAGGGAGTAGGTACAGTTGCTGGTATTGAATATGCAGTAAAGCATATTCAGATTTAAACCCTAGTCAGATTTGGCGGTAGGAGGCAGTAGGTAGGTACATTACGGTACATTACGAGTTGCTACGATTGTATTATAAAACATCGTGGGGGTTACCGTACTTTCTTGGTAGGGGGTATCAAAACAGTAAGGTCCTGTCCCGTATACCACCATGCTGCTTTTGTAGTGCAGGGTAATGCAGGATTTGTTTGGTTTATGCTATACCAGTACTACACTACACTACTGGCTGGTGTGGTGTGCAGTACCTTGTCTGTTGTAGCTAGCGAGCTAGATTCAGTATTCAGCATACCTGCTGCAGTCGTCACCTATACCAGCTTTCTGGCACATTGCTTGGTTCATCTCTCATCCACTTGGGATATGGAAGGCATTTCGTTTTCTTTTTCCTTTTATGGGATGCAGTACATTATTACAAACTGTATGACACAACTTATATGTGTCATAACCCACGTGAACAAATTGCATCCCACCTTCGATGGGATTAAATCTCATCTTCCATCCGAAGATATTCACCTGCAAAAGTTGGAGGTGGGGGAGGGAAACGGCAAATACAGTGTATGTGAGACGGCAAGGTGCGGCCAGGTGAAACCCAACGACGGCATTGGGATCCAGTCGCTGGCACTCCTGTGTGTTAGGTGCAATGCAGGAAAGGTGTGCGTTGAGGTGCATTGTTGGCCTGGTGAAAGTCAACGATGGCGTTGGGATCCAGTCGCCGGCACTCCTGTGTTGACTTGGCTGCATTATGGTGTGTTAACCTCCCACTCTTTCTAACTCTTTGCCATCAAGACCTGCACCTGCTGCACCAGGCGCACCTGTGTCAGCCTGGTGGAAGACAACAATGGCGTTGGGGTCGAGCCGCCGGCACTCCTGTGTTGACTTGGCTGCCACTCCAAAGCCCAGCGGCACATCCGACATCGACAGCACCACCACACCCTGCCGTGCGGTGGTGGGAGGTTGGTGGGAGGGAGCAGGAAGAGGAGGGGTGGAGGGGTGGGCGGGGGACCTGGCTGGAGGAGGGAGAGGGCAGTGAGGTTCTGCCCAAGACACAATTTACAAGAGGAGGGGTGGAGGGGTGGGCGGGGGACACAACCTCCACCTGGAGGAGGGAGAGGGCAGTGAGGAGGGAGAGAGAGGGCAGAACCTCACTGCCCAAGACAAAATTTACCCCATCCCCACACGAGAACACTTTTGAGACGTCTCAAAAGTCAATACACACGAGCCTCACCTCACTGAACACACGAGCCTCACCTCACTGAACACACGAGCCTCACCTCACCCTACCCCATCCCAGTCGCCCACCTGGTTCTGCTGCGTGCTCTCAATGATTCTCCCTGGCCCGCTCCTACATACCCGGGATGGCCCGCTCCTACATACCCGCGTCAAGACACACCAGGTCACGTCCCCACACCAAAGTACTGGCCACATCCGATCCCAGCCCTACCGCACCCATACCAGCCCACCCACCTGGTTCTGCTGCGTGCTCTCGGTGATTCTCCCCAGCCCGCTCTTGAGCACATGGTTGCCGTACAGGAATGACATCTCCGCTGCTGGCTTCACCCACACCTGGCGAGCGGATGGAGGGGGGGAGAAGGTGTTGGGAGGGGGAGGGTGAGGGGTGGTTAAGTGCAAGCAAGGGAGTGGCTTGGTGGTTGCCGTGCAGGAAGAAGATCTCTGCTGCTGGCTTCACCCACACCTGGTCGGGGAGGCAGAGGGCACGGAGGGAATGGGGTCGAAAGGGGTCGAAAGGGGTTGAAAGGGGAGGGGAGGCAAAGTTTAAGGTGCTTGGTGGTTGCCGTGCCGGAAGAAGATCTCTGCTGCTGGCTTCACCCACACCTGGCGGAGGGGGACGAAAGGGGAGAGGAGGAAACACAGGGAGGGCATGAGGGGTCAATGCTGCTTGGTGGTTGCTGCCGTAGAGGAATGACAGCTCCGCTGCTGGCTTCACCCACTCCTGGCGGGGGATGAAGGGGAAGCAAGGAGAGAAAGGATGGGGAAAGGGGTTTGCGGCGGTGGTTGCTGTAGTTTTAGGATTCAGTGCAAACAATAACGTAATGGATTTATCCCCGGGACAGACCAGCCCGAGCGCACACCTTGCTCTTGGCATATGCCGCCAGCAGGTGGAGTGCGGTGACGGTCAGGTGGAAGCTGCCTGACTTGGTGACTTGGTCAACACACACACACACACACACACACACACACACACACACACACACACACACACGCACGCACGCACGCACGCACGCACGCACGCACGCACGCGCGTGCGCACACACACCATACACACCCACCAGGTGAAGCTATGCCAAACCAGCCCGAGCGCGCACCTTGCACTTGGCATATGCTGCCAGCAGGTCGAGAGCAGTGACTGTGAGGCGGAAGCTGCCTGACTTGGTGAACTTGCCAATGCACGTGCCCAGTGACGCTAGGTGGTCTCGCGATACACTTGTTGCCCGTCTCATGATGGCCTGGTGGGGGGCGATAAGCAGAAATAGGGAGGAGAGGGGGGAGAGGGGCGAGGGATTGCGGGTGAACTTGCCGATGCACGTGCTTAGTGACACTAGGTGGTCTCGCGATACACTTGTTGCTCTGCGCATGATGGCCTGGTGGGGCGAGGGGCGTGTGACAGGAAGGGGCAGGGGGGTAAGGTTGCTGCGGGAAAGGCTGGTGCTGTGCTGCTGCTGGTGAACTTGCCAGTGCACGTGCCCAGTTATGCTAGATGGTCGCACAATACACTCGTGGCTCTCTGCATGATGGTCTGCTGGGATGGGAGGGCCGTGGGGAAAGGTGTGCAAGGCAGAATTGAAATCACTTTGGGGAAATCACTATTGATTCTCAAAAGCGATTTCAATAGGGCCGTAGACGTGGTGGGGAGATAACGTGACAGGGAGACAAATGGCAGTGACAATGGGGGTTGGCGCGGGGGGGAGGACGAGCGGCGGCAATGAGAGGGCCTGAGCTGAGGGGGCGAATCCGCGACGCCGTGGGGAGGGGGCCATTTCTTGACCGTTTGGCACCCTTTGCTCATCCCCATTACTGATGCTAGATTATCACAACAAACCCCTTTCCGCTATGAAGCTTCAAGTTTCAGGGTTTCGGATTTCAGGGGTTTGCCATCACACCATCTCAGATGCTCCAACCCCTCTGCAATTCTCTCAAACCCCTTCTTGGACCCTTGTAAAACCTCCGTTCAGCCCTCGCCCTCCTGCCATTGCACGCCCTGGACAGCAATGCTCGGTAACCCCCGAAAATCCCGCGTAACCCTTGTGAACCTCGGTACCGCCCCCTACCCTACCCTACCCTCTAATGCGCCTCGCTGATGTAAAACACGCGCTGCTACTGCAGTAACCTCCAGCAAATTTCCGAAACCCCTGTAATTTCCAGTAACTCCACGTAACCCCTGTATTTCCTGTACTTCAACTCTTGGTAACCCTGCCTACCCACTTCGCTGACATATTGCTGCAGTCTCAGGCAGTACCCGCCAGTGGCGCCCCCAGACCACCGATGAGGTGCGTTCGATGAGGTGCTTGATGTTGCTGCCGATGTACTTGTGCAGCTTCTCGAACACCGATCAAAACCTTTTACCCTGTAAACCCCCCTTAAACCCCGGCCGACACCAAACCCCCACCCACCTCGCTGACATAATACACGCACTGCCTCTGCAGTCTCAGACAGTACCCTCCTGTAGCACCACCCGGCCCTTCCGTTGCTTTCCGTTCAATGAGGTGTTTGATGTTGCTGCCGATGAACTTGTGCACTTTCTCAAACACTGCCTGTGTCTGCTTCTGCAGTCTCCGGCAGTAGTTCCTGGAAACCCCCGGTAACCCCTGGTAACTCCCTGTAACTCCCTGTAACTCCCGTTAAACCCCTGGTTATCCATGCTACTTCCTGTTAAACCCCCACCCACCTCGCTGACATAGTACACGCGCTGCTTCTGCAGTCTCAAGCAATACCCGCCGGTGGCCCCGCCCGGCCCTTCGGGTGCTTTCCGCTCGATGAGGTGTTTGATGTTGCTGCCGATGAACTTGTGCAGCTTCTCGAATACTGCCTGCGTTTCCTTCTCGTCCAACGGCCGCATCGTCGCTCGTTACTGTAGCGAGCGCCGCCTGTGTTACTGTAACGAGTGTGCGCTATTGTCTGGTCGCGGTTGATTGATGCACGTCGCGGTACCCGTTCTTTCTGTCGAAACTAGTGGCTGCTCGTCAACGGAATGGCGTGGATCAACAAAGAAATTAGAAACTTTTCAAACTCACAAGAATGCAATTAGGCAAACGCCGTCCTTATGATCTGTTTCGCACTGTACAAGCATCGAAAGCGGCCTCCCCTTGTTACGCTTTCGAGCAGGCGTAGAGCTACGGGGACATAAGGGCGCGTTCGTTCTTGCCGAACCTGACAAAGTTTGAACTCAAACCGCTTTGCACCGTGGCAAAACGTTTCTAAATGTATCATACCGTGACGAACCGTTACAAAAGTTCGAACTTTCAGTCAGGTTCGGCAAGAACGAACGCGCCCTAAAATCCGCTGGGGAATGTTGTCTGAAAAGCAGACACAGGCAGTGTTTGATTCACTGGGGGGTGTGATGCACTCACTTCTGCTCTGTAGTTGTCTCCATTTGTGCGTAAGAATTACATTGAACTTCGAGTTCACTAAACGGAATGATTTGATTGATTAGCCTCGACTCAATATCTGTAACGACGAGCTGAAACGTGTTACAGAAGTTTGAAGTTCGCATGTCGACGTTTGAAAAGAATTGGGTGGAATGAGATCGACGGCTGAGAAACATGTAGGCAGGGCTTAGGCCTAAAAATGACGCTCCATTCCAGTGTCCACCTCCGCCAAGTCTGGCGGTGGGAGGTGTTCCGGTCAGACGGCTGTGCCTGTGGGCGGTTGAACGGAAACAACCTCCGAGGTTGACGTTCCGCCAAGGTTGATGGCACCTCGCAGGGGTTGACGTCCACCCAGCGTTAGTGACAATTTCTCCGGGCAGCTGGAAAGCAAGAACATTCTGCAATATCCCAGCAGGTCCACTAGCAACAGCGCATCATTTTACTGTACAACATCGTCTTTGATGTGCACACGTAAAACTATCGTAAATCCAGAAGTGCTGCTTGCTCCTTTGGAGTGAAAATGTCGGCGAGGCGGAAGCACGGCAAGGCAAACCCAAGGCTGCGGGCCTTCCCCCCTGTGTGTCCAGTTTTGCGCGGGGCTCTCCACCCAACGGCCCGGTTCCCCCGCGTGTTCCGCTGGTTTACAGCGAAGCAGCGGAAGCAGCACAAAAAACCAGTATACTCCGCTGCGCGCTTCCTGAGCGAAGCTGCTGCGCCTGGTGCGCGAGTGACATCCCCTAGCCCCCACGTCACCCCCCTTTCAGCCGGTGTCAGCGGAAGAGGGCGATGGCGGAACTGTAATGCGCGTTGACCCAGCAAGCAGTCACCTAGGTTTTCTCCCCCCTAGAGTCTGTCAGGCACCTAGATTCTTGTTGCTCGTTGGTGCCACACCGTGCTCGTGACGTGAACAATGGCTGCTGCTGGCGGCAGTTGCAGAAACGCGGAATCGTCCTAATTTGCGGTGTCAGCTTAGTATTGCGTTGATCATACCATCGACTGCTTTTCTTCCGTTTTGCCTCTGGAAGCCTTGCAGGACAGCTGGCTGCTTGCAGATTATTGACTAATACAGCTGCAGTGCCAATTATCTTCCTTATACCTAGTTCAGTTTGCTTTACCTAGTGGTGCGTAAGATGGGTACCTCTAGTGTTCTTCGCCGTCGTTTCCGGTTAAGGCTATCGGTCAAGTCTTTTCAAGATTGATGCGACTCGTCACGCGGAGTCTACTAGGTTCCTGGCCTGAACTGCCCAAATACAACTATTAGATCGCTGAACACTGATGGACACTCGACAACCCATTAGACCTATCAACGGTACCGAAGTTCTGGTTGGTATCGCTGACAGCCAATGGCCTTTAACGAATCCGCACGCACTTCTTCCCGGAGATATTATTCTCCGGGTAGGCGACTCGGGCTCCAATCGTTCAACATACGCTCCTTTCGAGGACGGCATTAATGGCGTCAGGCGGGAGATTCTTTCATGGTCTCTGCGCGACAAGCTAAAACAGAATCGCGTGCCGCTTCAAGTGCTTCGCGGGAATAGGTGAGAAACGATCTTGAGGCCACGTGGACTTAAGAAGCTCTCAGACTTTGAGATGACTGGTCCTGGATCCTGGTCTTTATGTAACCGTTCAGCAGCCACTCTTTTTCTCACCCTTCTCCCGTCTCACCTCCGTCTTTCCTCCGTCTTTCCTCCGTCTTTCCTCCGTCTCCGTCCAGCCTCCTTTCACACCATTACATTTCAGGCCTCTTCGGTGACTGCACCCGTCCATTCTCACCTCCCTACCCTCTGCGTTCTTTACGTCTCTCCATCCTTTCCTCTCCCTCCTTGGCCCCTCCGTCTAACTGCTTTATGTCGCATCAACCTCACCGCACCCCATCTTTCGCCTCTTGTTCGTGCTTATGCTATGTTTCAGCCGTCTAGACATCTGGGCTCGAGTCACGCCGTCAGCGGTAGCAGAGGCGGCAGCTGCTGAAGCCGCAGAAGAAGCCGCACAAGGAGACGTCAGTCTTGACGGCAGTTACGACGACACGACCGCAAGCTTCGGACTCGCCAGCTACCGGCGAGCCGGCACTTTCGAAACGGATTGCAGTTACGACGCCGGCGAGAACCTTCTAGAGGGAGTCGTTCTTTCCGAGGGTCGGCACGCGCTGTTCGCACCGCTAGCGGCTTGGACGGAGGAGAGCATCCTGCGTCTAGAGCGGATTAAAGCATACGGCGCGCTGAGGAATAACAAGCCCCGAGCAGTGGAGAAAGAAGAGCAGCGCAACAAGCGCGGGAGTGGCCTTTACTCGAGGATGCCCTCTGCTGGCGTCAGAGCCCGTCGTGCAGCGGGTATTGGCTGCTGTTTTGCTGGAGCGGCGGAGAGTGGGGAAGGGTCGGAAGAGGCGGAAGGGGCGGAAGAAATGAGGAGCGGAGCGGAGGACTCCCTTCCGGCGCGCGAAGCTGTGGGGAAGCTGGCGGAAGGGATTGCGCGGCTACGGATGGGATGGGCGCGCGCAAGGGATGGCGCGGAGGAGGCAGAAGGGGTCAGAGCACCGCTTCTGGCGCATGCGGTGCACCCAGCGGAGAGGGGGGACGTTGGCGCGCAGGATAGCGGTCGTGGCGAAGATGATCGGTTGAAGAGGGGTGGTGCTGGCATGCTCAGGGATGCCCGAATTGGACGTGTAGGCAAGATTAGAATTTCTGATGAACCTTCTTCCGATTCTCCTCACGACGAGATCAAACCTGCCGACACTCTTGCCGCCCACGAATCTAATCCTCCGACTGCCAGTGCCGACTCGCGCGCCTCCTATGGAACACGGAGTACGACAGCCGCCACGTCAGCAGGCGAGCCGCGGGTCGTGCTGCCGCACCTGTACTCCAAAGTGCCGGTTTCTGGGGAAGGCGGTAGCGGGGCAGGCTGGGGTAGATGGGAAGATGGAGAGACATGCATTCAGGAAGAGGAGGAGGAGGGAGACGATGGGTACTGGCGTGAAAGAGCAGACGACACTGTTGCTGCTGTTGCTGCTGGTGATGCCGGTGCTGCTGGTGCTGGCGCTGGTGGCAGTGCTGGTCCGACGCTCGAAGAAGCACGTGACATGGGAGCGAGGACCAGACCGAGCTCTCCCACCCATCACACCACCACCCCTGCTGCTTCCACTATCCTCGCGACCGACGCCGCTGCTGCCGGAACTGCTGCTGAAGCGGAGGAGGCGGAGATGCAGGAAAGATTATGGGCAGGGAGAGCAGTGACAGCGCCTGAAGCCAGGCTGTGGCGGGGCCACGCATCAGCCATGCAGGCAGCAGGCATGCAGGCAGCAGGAATGCAGGCAGCCATGGCCAGCAGCATTGCGACAGATGGTGATACTTGCACAGACTCTCTCCCAGCGGGCTTACCTACCTTTCTCCACTCCGGCTGCCTACCTGCCTTCCTACCTGCCGCCCCGAACCTGCCTGCGCATGCAACGCCCGGTCCAGTGCTCAAGGTGCGGCGGCACTGCATTGCTGAGGCGGCAGAAAAGGACGACTCGGGTGGCAGCAACAAGAGCGTGGGCGGCAGCGGGCCGGCATCTCTGTTCACCATTCTGATCATGCCGGCTGAGAGCGGGGGGAAGAAGGAGAGCCGTCGATTCTTTGATGTGAACCACACGATTGACGTAAGTGAAAGCAAGGATCGTACGAGTGTGCTTTGGTTCTTGTTGCTTGCGTCTATCAGGATTTAAATTTGTTCAAAGCCCGCCTATGACAGAGCTGCAGAATGATGCTTGTAGCGATGCAGCAGGTGTTGTTGCTGCTGCAACAAGTCTCTCTCTGATACAATCCCCCTCCAGCGTGCCCTGCAGTGGTTTGCCTCAGTGCGTACGACCGGGGCAGCGCTCGAGCTGATGAACGCTCCTGACATCTGATTTCCCTCCCATCCCTTTTGCTCCCACCCCCTCGTCCCTCTCTCCCTCCAGCGTGCCTTGCGGTGGTTTGCCTCGGTGCGTGCCAGCGGAGCAGCACTCGAGCTGATGAACGCTCAGACCGAAGTCCTCCCGGTGCGGCTGGGCGGCATGGACGGAGACAAACTCTCCAAGATGGCGCAGTACGGAAAGTGGACAGTAAAGACAAACGACGAGCAGCGCGGGGATCATATCTCAGTCCTCCGCGCCGTCCGCCTCTGGCTGGTCCCGGATTCCGAGGTGGAACTCACCCTGGTGCTGGCGTCCGGAGGGGTAAATAACGCGGCGTGCCCTCCCGACTGGGGGTTACTTCTGGAACAAACCCCGGAGGGTGTGGTGCATGTGGTGGGGGTGAGGGGGGGCAGTCCAGCTGAAAAAGGAGGAGTGGCCATGCTGCTGAGAATGGCGCGGGCGAAGAAACGGCTGCTGCTGCTGTCGCGGCTGCAGGGGCAGGTGCTGCTGCCATCGGTGATAGCCAATGGCCAGATAGAATGTGCTGACGTGGAGGCTCTGCAGGAGCAGCTGGTGCTGCAGGCGCATCTGCCGTCCATCCCGCTGCGCCTCACGTTTGCCCTGTGAGGGGTCCGGGAGGGACTCAATGGTGTGAACACTCTCAGATGCTTCTTGGGAAACTACTGCTGCTGTGTGCGCCCTACAATTGGCGTTTTCTTCAGAAGCTGCTGCTACAACTGCTTCTGCTTACCTGCTGGTTGCGTCGCTATTGGGGGAAAGCCTGAAGCAGGGCCTTCGTGCTCGATGGAACGATGTCGGCGGTTCAGTCGTTATTTTGGAGGGGGAAGGGGAGGGAGAGGGGGAACTTCACAAGTTACAAGCTCGTCTGATCAGCAGCAGGGGCCATACATACCTCTGGACTGGATTCCCTCGTAATCCTCCAGCTCTCTCTCCCCCACGCAGACACACACACACACACACACACACACACACACACACACACACACACACACACACACACACACACACACACTTTCTCTCCTCTCACCTCTCCTCTCGTTCCCTCTCTTCTTCCTTCTTGCATCTGTCACCTGGTCATTTCGTCCCTCCACTCTCTATTTCTCTCCCTTTTTCTTTCTGCTTACCCACTCTCTTCAAGGTGGGACTTATTGCTAGCCTGGTTTGAAAAACGGGCAGCCTATCTTCTCAGCACCTCCTGCTTTTGCTTTCATAAGTGGCTCCTATGCCATCACATGGAGGCCCCTTCTGGTGGCCCGATGCAACAAGTGTTCGAGCACTTATGAATGTAAAAGTATGAGACTGTAATGACAATTGCTTCATTGCGCAATGCTTTCTAGAGATTTGTATGCCAGGCTTTCAAATGCCACGAGTGTGATTTTGGTCAGCATGTTGTTTATATTTATTGAAGTACACTAGAATGGCAGGTACCGTATATCCATGATGTAAACTTTTGCCTGCTAAAGGAAGTCAAAGTACAGCTAATGCTCGTTTGGCGCACCCAGCTTTGCCTTGTGCTCTGTGCGTATAAGTGTTTTTTGTAGTTCGTCAGGGCTTCGTGAATTCGCACCTAGCAAAATAGGGCTTATAAAAGACATTGTAGCTCAGCGTTGACTTTTTGACCTCAGTCTCTTCAGTCAAACTTCGGTTTCTGTGGTTAATATTGCTCGGGGTGCTTGTAATGTGGGTGCAACTGGCAGGCGCAAAATACACGGGTGCAGAGTTTCCGTCGCGTCCAGGGAAAATTCGCGTGCAGTGAGTGAGCATCGTTTGTACCCCCAGAAGTAGATCGTTGCTATTATCACGGCAATTTCAGGACTTCAGGATACCGGAAGTAGCTCAAGATGGCCGACGCGGCTGTGTAGGGTCTGGTCTGATATAGAATGGATGCAGTGCGGTGACATGCAGCTCATCAATTCTTTGGGAGCCAAGTTGTTCTCTCAACAGGATGCCTGGTGGTTTTCGTTGACATAACAACTACAGTAAACCCTGTCTGGACTCGCTCGAAGCCGTCAGTAGAGTAGAGTTAGGGCGCATTTCAGGCCTCGTAACAAGTGACTTCCGAACAAGTTGGTCGTCGCACAGGGCCCAAGTTGTTACGAGGCTGAAGTTATACTTCAGAACAAACAGGTTTCAGCACGATCAAGAAATTCGCACATGTACAGAGTTGGGTCGCAGCCAGTAATATGGCTCGTGGATTCACTGTCTGCGAAGGCCTACCAGGTCCATAAGCTGACGGCTTCACGAGCCATCTTTTTGTTGGTGCTGCCCAAAAATATTATAGGGGAAAGTTCCAACATAGAATTGGAAACAGCATCACAAACAGGCCAGCCTCTTGGCTTCGAAAGTGCCTTGAACATCAAACAGCCCGTCAAAATTATTTCACCAGCTAGAGGGTGACGAAACTAGGTCGCCTGCTGTCAGGTAGACAGTGCGCGACCGGAGAATCATGATCGCCAGCGTTCGTAATTCGGCCAGCTTTTAGCAAGAAGCTGTTACGAAGTTTTGGTCGCCACAAATCGCCAAAAGTAGCAGAAAATCGCAAAGGCGTCGCTTGTTGCGAGTCGCTTGTTCGTAACAGCCTGAAATGCGCCCTTAGCATCACATGACAGTTCACTGAGCACCACCTGAAAGCAACAAGACCAGAAAGAAGCCAAGACCACTCACCTCACCTCAACTCAAGAGCAGCTCTTATGCGAAGGAGCTTCGAGCTCCAGCCCCCCATGCCACGAATGGCGACAAATGGAGTGGCGACGAAGGAGCGTGGCCCAGCCTATACCAGGTCCTTCTGGCCGTGGCCGTGACTTGTGTCGTGAAACAGACAGGTCGTTCCGACTGACCAAATTATGCACGTTACTTTACGTCAGGCAGCAGGTCGTGCGACATTGAAGAGCAGACTAGCCACGTCAGCCCGTCAGTAACCAGCAAGCGTCAGCTAGACGGCGACCGTCACACGGACGGCAACGACAACGGCAAATGGAACGACGAGCCGGTGCCATCCGATTCCACTGCAGGTCCTCCTGCCCCTGAATCTCCACCAGCCTCCATGACTTTTGAGGCGCCCCAAAAGTCCTCCATGATACCAGTGCTGTTTCAAGGAGTGAGGGTTTCGCCATGGCACGACGTTCCTTTATATCCAGCCGACGACGAGGACCCCCTGATGGATTCCCGACCGCGCTCTGATTCGCTGGAATCGAGCTCGCAGCTGTCGCACGCCTCTGCGACGTCCGCGACGTCGTTTCGAATGATCTGCACGAATCCTGCAGGCAAGCATCGCGTGCATGTGATTTCGCCAACGGACGGTCAGATCGTCGCCAGCTGCTGCGGCAATACCGAGAAATCTGCCACTGCTGGGTCTGCCACTGATGCTGCTGCTGGCTCTGCGTCTGCTGGGTGCAATGCTGACGCGGGAGGCTTCACGACGATGGATTTCCCCTGGAATTGCGGAGTGCTGCCGCAGACCGCCGCTGCCTCGTCAGCAGCGCCGCTTTCAGATGCTGACGTGTTGCTTCCCGTGGAAGCCGTGGACATTGCGCTGTCTCCTCATTCAGTTGGAGATATTTATGAGGTGCGAGACGACTTGTGCAATACTGATGCTTCCAAACGCTGACGTGTTGCTGACGTGTTTATTCCTGTGGAAGCGGTAGACATTGCGCCGTCTCTGAGCTCAGCTGGAGATATTTACGAGGTGCAATGCAGCTTCTTACTGAGCAACTTGTATTTACGGGCTGCGAGGTGACTTGCGTACTGCCGCTTTCTCGTACTTTCTGTTTGTTCCGGTTGCATACCACATTTGCATTGGAAATCCACTCTGTTTGTTATAATCAGATGCCGAATCCAGTGCATTCAAGTCGTCAATCACTTGAACGAACGCAACTGTTATCCTCGACTCAGCTTCCTCACGGTCTTTCTTCCGAATCGGAATACAGAAGAGGGGCGCGACGCGAGGACTCCATCCCACCTCTCTCGACTTTGCCATTCTCTCTTCTCTTACCACCCCTCATCGTGCCCCCACGACTCCAACCTCCCTTCCTCCTGTGCTTTTCCCTGCTGCCTTCCTCTCTGCCGCCCCCCTGCCTTACTCTGCCTCACCTGGCTCTTCCCCCTACCCAACCCACCGTTCCCCCACCCACCACCAGGTACGCGCACATGCAGTCATCGCCATTCCCAACCCCCTCACGCTATCCGTAGCATATCGGCTGGTCGTTTCTGACGTCATCGCTGAGTCAGCACCACCTGAGCTGGACGGCAGCGCGCTCATGGCAGTGCTTCAACGTGTCTGCGCTTGGCTGGAAACAACTGACACGTGGCTGCTCTCAGGCCATCCTGACGTGGCAATGCAGGCCACCGTGGATCCTGATGAGGTGGCAAAGGTGTTGGATGAGACCCACGTGGCATGGGCTGAGCTGTACGTGCTTACGCAGCCGTTCCCTCCTGGTGCACTCCCGCTGTCATCTATTCCCGAATACTCAACACACACTGAACCTAGTGTAGCAGCAGCAGCAGCAGCCACACTCACCCCCACACTCACCCCCGCACTCACTCCCAATGCCACGCTCTCACCCGCTCCCACCTCCACACTGCCTGATACCGCCACACTCCCGCACACGCTTCCACTCACAGACACGGCCCTTGAGGCGCCTCAAAACACGCTTCCAAACACAGACACGGCCCCTCCTTCCAGACCAGGCTCTGCACCCTCCCGCACACGTGCTGCTGCCGACTCTCCTGCAGCCACACATTCAGCAGCAGCAGCAGCAGAAATAGGGGTAGCAGGAAAAACAGCCGAAGCAGGGGCAGTGGGGGCAGCAGGGGCAGTAGGGGCAGTGGGGGCAACGGGGGCAGCAGGGACAGCAGTAGAGAGGCCAGGTGATGACACAACCTCATTGGGGAACCCTCCAGCCCTCACAAGACGCAGCTCCACAGGCGGCCGCTCTGCCTCCAGGGTCGCCCACTCTTCTCCCCCTCACCCCTCCGCCCATCACCCTTCCGCCCATCACCCTTCCGCCCCTCACCCTTCCGCCCATCACCCTTCCGCCCCTCACCCTTCCGCCCCTCACCCTTCCGACCCTCACCCTTCCACTGGGCCTCATATCAGTGGCGCACATAGCGGGGTGGCACACATGGGGGGCGCACAAAGCGAGGGCGCACGCAGCAGTGGCGCACGCAGCAGTGGCGCACGCAGCAGTGGTGCACAGGCAGGCGAGAGGTGGCGTAGGGCAGCAGCAGGGGCACGATCCATGGCTGCTGCTGGCGGGGGGAGAGGGGGGAGCAGAGGGGGGATGGGGAGCGGATTGGCTGCTGAAGGGGGAGAAGGAAGGGGAGGAGGGGCTGTTGAAGAAGCAGGAGCGGGAGGATGGGTGGGAGGGAGTGATGGTTGTGGTGGAAGGGTGAGGGGGGAGAGAGGAGGGAGAGGCGGGAGAGGGGCGAGAGGAGGGAGAGGAGAGGGTGCGTTTGTGCTGAAGGGAAACATTTTACCACAGCATTCAGCCATCGGCACTCCTGCTCCTAGTTCTGCTGTTGCTGTTGCTGGTGGTGCTGCTGCTGCTGCTGCTGCTGTCATCTTTGAGCATGCAGTTGGTATCCCTGCCAGTGGTGCTGCCACTGGTGCTGCCAGTGCTGCCAGCGCTGCCAGCGCTGCCAGTGCTGCCAGTGGTCCCAGGCGTCCTGCTGCTGCTGCGTCAGCCGCTACTGTCACTGCTGCCTCCTCTGCACCATTCCCAGGGCTATACCACAGGCGAGTCGAATCCCATGGTGCCATACCGTTACAGGGCCACCGGTTACCAGCAGCAGCTAGGTCGCAGGGGGCTCTTCCCTTACAGCCCCCTCAATCACCATCTGCTAAGTCACAGGGAGCGATACCGTTACAGAGCCTCCGGTTACAGGCAGCTAGATCACAGGGGGCCATACCGTTAGAGAGCTCCCAGTTACCAGCAGCAGCTAGCTCACAGGGGGCTGTTCCGTTGCAAACCCCCCAGTCACCATCAGGTAGGTCACAGGGGGGCATACCCTTACAACCACCCCAGTCACCATCAGGTAGGTCGCAAGGTGCAATATCGTTACAGAACTCACGGTTACAGGCAGCTAGGTCACTGGGTGCTATTCCATTGCAACCCCCGCAATCACCAGGTAGGTCACAAGGGGCAATACCGTCACAAATCTCCCGGTTACCTGCTAGTTCACAGGGAGCTATTCCCTTACAGCCCCCCCAGTCACCATCAGGTAGGTCACAGGGCGCGATACCGTTACAGAGCCACCGGTTACCAGCAACAAGGTCACAGGGGGCTATAGCATTACAGAGGCCCCAGTTACCAGCAGCTAGGTCACAGGGGGCTATCCCGTTAGAAACCCCCCCGTCACCATCAACTAGGTCACAGGGGGGCATACCGTTACAGAGGCCCCACTTCCCAGCAGCTAGGTCACAGGTGGCTATTCTCTTGCAACCCCCCCAATCACCATCAGGTAGGTCACAGGGAGCGAGACCGTTACAGAGCCCGCGGTTACCAGCGGCACGGTCAGATGGTGCCATACCACTACAGAGCGCACGGTTACCAGCAACAGGAAGAGGGAGAGCAGCAGCAGCAGCAGGAGGAGGAGGGGAGCAAGGAAGGGTTTTGGCGAAGGCAGCTTCTGAATGGCTGGAGCCCAGAGCACGGCACCAGAGAGCAGCTAGTGCTGGCTTTGGCACTGCCACCCCTGCCACCACTGTCACTGGTGGTGCTGCTTCTGCCTCTTATGTTGCTGCTGCTGCTGCTGCTGCTGCTGGTGGTGCTGGTGGTGCTGGTGTGTGTAGAATCGGTTTTGGTGCTCCGAGTGCTGGCAGAGGGGCGGGGTGGGAGAGAGCACTGACACGATCCATGTCGGCACGGGAAGGGCGAGCAGGAGAGGGGTGGGAAGGGGGAGGAGTAGGGGACGCACAAGCAGGCAGGAGGGTTGACGGGGAGGCTGGACTCGACTCGCTGCAAACCTCACCTGCAGTGACATGGGAAGCAGGACTTGCTAGGTCCGCACGGAGAGTGGACGGAGCACGTCAGGCAGAGGGAACACTGCCAGGGCATGAAAGAGTGGGGGTGGGAGCGGCATCACATGACGGGGCGATGGGGACAGCGGGGAGGGGGAGAGCAGTTGCGGGTGGTGGGAGAACGGCGAGTGCTCGCAAGCAGAGCCTCTCTATTGGCTGTGCCAGTGACCTCCTGCCTCACTGCTCGCCCCATGCTCCTCGCTCCTCCAGCCTTTCACACAATCACACCCCAGACAGTCACCTTCTGCACAATCGAGTACCAGACAGTCACCTTCCGTACAGTCACGGGCCAAGCAATCACCTCGTGTACAGCTCTCAGATGCAGCAAGCTCATGGAAGGGGCAGCAGCCTCCTGCCCGTGAGTGAGACTGAGGTGGACGAGTTGAGTACAGAGCCTTGCCTGAGATATCGTGTAGCAGACAATGAAGGCGGCAGCAGCAGCAGCAGCTGCAGCAGTGGTGGCGGTAGCAGTAACAATAGCAAAAGCAGCAACAGTGCTGGCAGCGGCAATAGCAGCAGCGGCGGTGGCAGCAGCGACAGCAGCAACAGCAGGGCATACTGGCAGAATGGCCCTGTGCCTTCCATGAACCCTGCAAGGACGGCAAGGCACAGTGTGGACTGGGCTCATGACAGCCCCATGCAGCAGCAGCAGCAGCAGCAGCAGGAGGGGTGCAGGAGTTGAAGTGCGATTTGAAGGCCACAGGCCGCCGCCATCGCCAGGGTCAGCTGCCCGACACAAGGAGAGGGCGTTTCGGCGCGCCAGCACTGATTTCAGTGACCGCACGGGCTTGGGGTCGGCTTTTGTGGCACCTCAAGCGACAACTGCCTGGCAGAAGGAGAGAGTGCTTCGGCACGCCAGCACTGATTTCAGTGACCGCACGGGCATGGGCCGCCACACAGGCTTGGAGGCGGCTGTGGCAATCGCAGGTGCACAGGGGAGTACGGAAATCAATCTACAGGGGAGCGCTTCCCAAGAAGGGAACGAGCGGAAGTGAGGTTCATTAGCGAGGGAGTACAAATGCAAACCCTAACAGAGTTATACCCCTTAGAGTGTGCCCCACTATAGCCTACAAATTTATAATTAGTTTGACAACGTTGCACCGGACTTGCAGAGGTGGTTACCATCACAAGTGGATGAGGGGTGATTTCTCTGGTAGCAATAACACTGCCTCCAGCAGCATTGTTGGCGTAGGTAGGTCGTAGCTGCGAGCAGTGGTGGAGCTAGAAGCCGTAGTGTCAGGAGCCGCAGCCGAGTGATTAGAAGTTGTGACCTGGCCAAAATGGTGCAATGGCTGTTGTTTGTGCTGTATTGAAGTTATTGTGCAAAGGTGAAGGCGAATCTATTCCACTTCAAGACATTTATCATCTGCATGTAGTTTCCTTTCTTAGTTTAACCGCTTGTTCACTGTAAGCCTACACGAGGTTTACTGAATTACACGACGGTTTTCTTGCGACTATTCGTGGTTGTAAGGAGGGAGCTTCCGCCTCACAATATCTGCCAACTGTCACCCCTCGTCCACCAATCCCCACACACTTTCTCCACCGCGTCGCCACGTCACGTCTCGTGGACCACCATCAGCTGAACCGTCACCTTGCCCGCGCTTTCACTGGACGATGCTCATCTCCTCGTCAGCCCCTCGAAAGTGTCGACATAGCCCAGCACCTCCGTGAGCAGGAATTCGGGAAATCGGCGATTTCCGTCCGTCCATGTTCGACAATCTCGAGGTGGTGAGGTCAAATGACAGCCAGCCAGCCGAGAGTCGGGGCGAGTAATCTCAAGGTGCTTTTAGGGTGTGTAAGATCCCCGTGCACACGTTTTGGCTGAATTTTGTCGACCATTTTGGTCGACAAAGCTTTCGCGAAGGTCGACAGATTAGTCGTCACCAGGTCGACAAATTTTCGGCCAACTCAGTGTGGCCTCCAAATCTGACACGGTTTTGCTGGCCGCTGTAACAGAGGTGGAAGATTTTGGTTTGTCCTTTTTTACGACTTGGTGCGACGATGTCGCACACATGAATACGATGTCGCAATTTCACTGTAGCAGCGTATGCGACTTCGTTTCTCACTGTAGACAGCTGCTGTCGACAGCATGGCCGATTTGAAGTCGACCACGCGTCGGAAAAGAGTCGACTAGTTTTCCGGCCATCAAATCACAAATTTGATGGTTGAAATTGACGAGATTCGCAAACCGATCACGAAATGGTTACTTTCGCTACGGCCACCTAATTTTGATGGCCGATTCTGTGTGCACGGGGATCTTACACGCCCTTATCTGAGGCACACAATCAGGCGCGCCGCATCAGCGCACCCGACGCTCGAGTTGCCACCAGCACGCAACGTAACCTCCCTCACCATTCTATTGTCATGGTGCACACTATTTGGTGAGGTGCGGTGAGTTGCAGAGCGGTTGGATGCGCTGTTATGCAATGTCCTGGGTTCCTTTTGTGATAAAGGGAAATCCAACAGAAGCCATGGCGCCTCTCTGACTGTGTGACACGGCGTGTCGACGATGGCGTCTGGTCGGAGCTGACGGCAGCGTCGAGACACGCCAGGGTGGCGTACTGTCTCTGAATCCACTAAGCACCACTAGCGGTTTCAGCGGCTTCAAGTCTCAAGTATTGATCAGCTCGAATCGCAGTCAGTTCAGTCAGCCGTTGTGCTGCTGCTGAGACCGCTGAACGAGGAGGATCAGTGAATCAAACGTTGAGTTGAATTGATGAAATTACGAGAAAGGTACTGTACTTCGTCTGAGTTGGCGAGTCCGACTTGTGTGTTACCTAGATTAGCTTTTCACCGTTGAAGGACTAGAGACAAAGGTGGACTAGAATCGTCAGTCCTGCAATCCGATCGTTCCTGAGACTTAATTTCTAGAAGCAGTACCGTAGCATAGGATTGGTTCCACTCGTCCCGCATCTCTTAAAACTGCCGCCGTCGCACTGCCATGTCAGCAACATCTGTAGTCTCACGGCCTCAAACTGCTGGTTGCACCAGCAAGCTATGTACTAACACCGCTCGCAATGACTGCACACGGCTTTCAGTGAATCATGCTAGAGTCAACTTTCCCCGCCAGCGGGCGTTTCGAGGAGTCAATGTCCGCTGCGATGCCCACGAGAACACAAAAAATCAAGGCTCCAGATTAGTCGACGAAGAGTCGGCTTTAAAGGAGGAGCTCCGAAAAGCGACGCGGTTCGAGAAGCGATTAGAGGCCCAAGTTGGTGTCCCGCAAGAGCTGGAGCTCTTCACGGGAGACGAATTGCACTACGTGGAGACGTCCGACGGATGGCGACTCGCCCTCTGGCGTTATCTCCCTTCTGAATCGGTGTGTATCTCCTCCGTTCCTGTTTTCTAGGCCCTTTTATTCCTCTCCTATCTCTGCTTAATTAATCTACAAATGGCCGCTTCCTTCGCGTTGATGCCTCTCTTGCGACATGAAGGTCCAATTCACCGTGTGATGTTATTTTTGTTGTTCTTCCTGGTGTTGGTGAATCAGGTTCCCCGAAAAGCTCATCCAGTCCTCCTCCTTTCCGGAATTGCCACCAATGCTCTCGGATACGATTTATCACAAGAGGTAACTTCCTTTTCATTTCAGCCGTTGAGTAAATGACGTTTTCCCTATGAGTCTTCTATGTCGCCTCTCTGTTTTTTAAGCCAGACTTTTTTTGGGGAATTCCAAAGGAGCCACGCTGGTTGACACGTCATCATCTGACCCCTGCAGGTGTCTCTGGCTCGACACCTGGCAGATCAAGGGTTCGATACCTGGGTGCTCGAGCTACGTGGAGCAGGCTTAAGCCAGTCTCCCTTCTCTCTAGCAGGGGCGCAGGGTTTGTCATCTGCCAAGAGTACTGCTATTGGTCCAATAGAAGGACCCCCTATTACATTCGTTAATGGTTCTGTAAATGGCACGATGAACGCTGCCATCGATACAGGAAACTCAGTTAATGGGTTTCCAGCTAATGGGGCTTCTAAAAACGAGTACGCAACTGGAGCTAGTACGAATGGCTCGGCTGTTAATAGCAGCAGCAGGACAGATGGTACGACAAACGGCTCTGTGTTCACTCCGTTGTTTTCAAGTGATGACGAAGATTCAACACCAGCTGCCGCTGCAGCAACATCAACAGCAACAGCAATGGCAACACCAGCAGAAGTTCCAGAATTGCCTGCAGCGACTAGTCCGGATGCGTCAGAAGGTTTCAGCGTTTCGAGCAGCCTATCTCGAACCATGCAGCAGCTGCGGAATTACTTCGACCAATTCACCCGTTCAGAACCAGCAATGGACCCCCAGGCACTGAGGCCGAAGCTAAAATCCGCAGAAATCAGATTAAGAGAAGCTCTGGACCACGCAAGCCTGCAGCAGCCAGTGGCGCTGCTTGACTTGCAGCACATACTCGTGCAGCTGCAGACCTGCAGTGACGTGGAGCTGACGTCGTCTGGCGTGACACAGCTGAGGCACGCCCTGGGTTCCTTCTTCAGCGATGCTCAACAGTCACCTGACGTTTCACCTGAGGCTTTTGCAGCGATGAAAGATCTGGCTGACCTGATTGGCCCACTGAGATCCGAGACCACTCTCCCCACTGCCGCTGCTTCGTTCCTACAGCAGACCACCCGCCTTCTCAGCAACAGCATCGCCTCTTCCAACCTTGAGAAACGGCTATCCGAGCTTCAGAAACGGCTGGGGGAGATAATGGAGTCTAGGCAGGGCGTGGCGACGCCGGGAGTGGCTGAGCTGTACGAGCAGCTGATTGGCGTGATTCTGCAGACCCAGGATGTGGCGAGTCTTGCCAAGGAGTACAATTGGGACTTTGACACGTATCTGTATGATGACCTGCCGGCCGCCATGCAGTATGTGCGGAAGTGGTCCCCGCCGCACGATAGAAAGATCCTGGCCGTTGGTCATTCCATGGGGGGGATTTTACTGTACTCGCGAATGGCTGCTCTCGGTAAGAATCCGCTCCATTAGCTGGCGCTCTAGTATTCTTTTTATTTCTGTTATATCTCCTGGTTTTCCGTGTCCTTCTCCCTCACACGATCTCCCTCTCGTGCTCTCGCTCTCGTTCTGTACGAGACTGCAGGTCCTGATGCGGGTTTGTTGGGGGTGGTGACGGTGGCATCGTCACTCGAATACTGGATGGCTAATTCCAGCTTGAAGCTGCTACGCCCACTCGTAAGTGCCACTGTATCAAAGAAATGCACTACAGTTGAGGATATAATATGCACACCACCGAACATTTACACTGCCATTTACCACCAGCTAAACCAGCACCAGTTTCTCCTCTCCTTCCCCCTTTTGGCTGAGCCCTAGTCATCGATGTGGCCGTGCTGGTGCAAGGCTGTGGCTTGCATGGTCGCAGGCTCCATGGAAGGGAACCAGGCTGTGTGACACCTTCGCACCCATCCTCTCCTCTCCTTTCCCTGCATTCCTTGTAGACGTTACCAGACCTGTCCTGCTCGGGCCTTGAATTGAACTTTCCGCGCAGTCTTGGTGGCTGTGCAGGTGGAAAACACTCTCCTCATAATCGAATTGCATGCATCATGGTCATCATGCCAAGGCTGTGTTATCCACCCTGCCTTGACACGCTTCCTCTCCCTGTCTTTCCTCCCCTTCCCAGTCTGGCCCTGCTCGGGCGCTCAACTTCCCAGTCATCCCAGTGGCAGTGCTGGCGCGAGCAGCGCTGCCCCTCATGACCCAGCCGCCCTTCACACTCGCATGGGTGGCACACCAGGTGTCAGCCCGCGATGCCATGGACCCCCAGCTCTTCCAAAAGCTCATGCTCCACAACTTCTGTGAGTTCGGGGTGAGGTGAATCGGGGTAGTATTGGGTTGTATGAGGAGGTAGTACGGGGTAGCATGGGTTGGGGAAGCGCAGTGGGTGACACACCAGGTGTCAGCCCGCGATGCCATGGACCCCATCCCTTTCAAAAGCTCATGCTCCACAATTTCTCTGACTGCGGGATGAGGTGGCATGTGGTATATGGGTTAGTGTGCGGTAGTATGGGGTAGCACGTGTTGAGGAAATACAGTGGGTGGCGCACCAGGTGTCAGCCCGTGCCACCATGGACCCTCAGCTCTTTCAAAATCTGTGAGTGCGGGATGAGGTGGCACGGGGTAGTATGTGGTAGTATAGGGTAGTATGGAACGGGGCAACACAGTGGGTAGCGTCACTCTCTTCCACTGTCTCTGTTCGCTATGCCCTCCTGCCACCTTTCATGTAAAGCTCCTGCAAGTAGTGTCCATCTTTACTCTAGGCAGGTCAACTCGCTCTTTTCCAATGTCTCCACTTCCATCTCCCCACAGGCACCATCCCCGTCAAGCTCCTTTTGCAAATGTAGTTCATTTTCACGCCAGGCGGGATGCGCTGTCGCAGCAGGTCGACTCACTTTTTGTTTTGTCTATTTGCCACCCCCACAGGCACCATCCCCGTGAAGCTCCTGCTACAAATGGAGTCCATTTTCACGCCAGGGGGGTTGCGCAGTCGCAGCGGATCCATCTCGTACCTCAAGGGGCTCAGGGACTGCCACACACCCGTGCTCGCCCTCGCTGGCGACTCTGACGGTGTCTGCCCACCCCTCCTTGTTACAGGTCAGTTCGTGCAGCTCTGGTTGTCAGAGGTCAGTGTGCAACATGTACCTGTTGGTCCATCTCGTACCTCAAGGGGCTGAGGGACTGCCAACGCCCGTGCACGCCCTCGCTGGTGACTCCCTTTTGACCGTCTCGCAATGTTTTCTCCTTTGAAGTCGCCTCAAATGTTATCCATGTGTGTCCCTCACAAAGCTGATTCTGACTCTCCTTCACTTCCTCTCTGACTCCTCTCTGATGAATGCGGTGTGTGGACTGCAGAAACCCTCAAGGCGATCCCATCTTCCAGTGTTGAGTACCGGCTGTTTGGAGGGTCGGACAACCGCCACTACGGGCACTACGACATGCTCGTGGGCAAACATGTGAGTATTCGTGCTATGTGTGAGTGGTTGGGTCGTGTGAATATCGGCTGTTTGGAGGGTCGGACAACCGCCACTACGGACACCACGACATGCTCGTGGGCAAACGTGTGAGTATTCGTGCTATGTGAGTGGTTGTGACATTTGGGCAATCGTGCCATGTGAGGAAGGATGTCATGTGAGCAGGCATGCCACGTGAACATGTGGTGCTGCCATGTGAACATGTGGTGCTGCCATGTGAACATGTGGTTCAGCCATGCCATGTGAATATCATGGCATGTGTCCAGCAAGCGAGCAACATGGCCAAACCCTGTGATGTGACTAAAGAGTTTCACCATTCATGCTAATGGCATATTGCTGCTGTGCTGTGCTGTGCTATGCGTATGTTTTTCCGCACTCCAGGCACCAGAGGAAGTGTACCCTGTCATTACAGACTTTCTGTCAAAGACTGATGGTGTTAACGGGGAGCCAACCAGGGCTGCAGACGAGTTCCCTTCCAACACGCCTGCCATGACAGTTCAGCAGGATGCTCGTATGCATGCAATCTAATCACTGTAAAAACCTGGCCTCAAAATAGTAAATTCATATGGTTGTTAGAGTGTGTCTGTGCTTCTAAGGGTAGTTCAAGGGCAAATCAGGCGTAGTTAGTTCACCGCCATGCATCACCATTCAGACTGGTGGATAGCGGTTCAGAGGGGTAGAACAAACCTCTCCAGGATGTCATCTTTTTCCGACGCCAATGAATCAAGTCTGACCCGTCTGAGGGTCAGGTGATCCGTCCAGGAAAGTTGTATGAACTCCGCTGCCTATTTGTCACAGAACAGCCAGACAGTGATGCATCTAGTTACCCATACACCCTTACAATCTATTTAGTGGAAGAGTGGATCATTAGAAAACCCGTACATCATTTATATAATGAACCCATCATCAATTCAAAACCCCTTCATTTGCAGTGGTAATCCCTGCAATCCCGCATGAGAGGGTTTAGAGGGTGGGTTTAGTGGGGGTTTTGGTTCGATGGGAGTGCAGTTGGGGTGTTTTGATGGGATGGTTTGATGAGGTTTCAATTGTGTGTGCTATTGGGGTTTTCTTGATGTTGTGTCCTGTGTTTTTTCTTCCTTTTTCCCGGTTTTTCTTCCTCCTACCATTTTCTCCCTATTCCCTTCTTTCTTCTTCTTTCCTTTTTTCTCCTCACGTTATTCCTCCTTTCCTCTTCTCTTCCTGTTCCCACTCAATTTCCGTACGTAATTGTGCTACATTGTAATATCTATGTTATTAGCAGAAGTATTATTAACATAGATAAGAGACGCTAAGCAATTACCACACTGCGCAGCTGCAGTGAAACCTGCAGATACAAAAGCAAAACGCAACAGCTGATTAAGCACCGTCACGGAACCCGTTGAAACGAATCGCAATATCCATAATGGATCATCCGACGAAATGTGGGGAGGGGGACAAAGGCACAACCACTTGGTCAACTGCGCGCCTGGGTATAGTTCCGCCCCGTTTGAACGTGCTCTAGGCGACCTTGAGCGCTGCATGTGCCACGGTGAACCAGGCACACCAGTGACTCTAATTGAGTCGCCATGCGGAAACAATAAGCGAAGTTTGATTGACCCCGTCCACTCCTTCCAGGGAGTGATATAAATTGCGAAACAAAGGCGTTTGTGAGACGCGCGGTAGCGTACCTTTTGTTGTTGGGAAGCCAGTCGTTGATAAGTGCATTCGGATCGGCCTGTTTAGCAGCATTTCGCGCTTCACCATGACACTTGAGCCGGAACCACGGAGGCAAGCCGGATCTGAAAGGGCGCGTCGGATGGTCGCATATCGTATAAAGGGAACAAAACATTAGCAAAAAATGTCTTAAAACGAGAAGGAACAGAGCAGCGAGAGGAATGTAAGAAGCTGACTGTCGAGGGGTGACTAAGCCACCTCATGAAGGAAATACAGAGGTGGCATGAGATAGTGATGCCCTTACGCCTACCAGGCCATTCTTTTAGGAGGCTTCGAGCGCTGAATGGGTCACGTGATGGACGCACCAGTGACTCTATAGAAGCCGCCAAGTTGCATGCTTGATTGAAAGTAATTGTAGAAAAGACCACTTCAGGCGCGATGAAATGTGACTAGAGAAACTCATATGAAGATAATGGGCGTAGGGACCGTCGGACCCACCATTATCTTTGTCAGACTTTCAACGGCATTCGTAGCCGCACGTCGAGCCTCTCAGGAATCAGATCGCGATGTCATTATCTCAGATGCACGCGGCCATTCAGCCTCCAGAAGGACACCGACTCCGCATCAGCCGCATTCTGTGGGAAGCCTCAGCCCCCACTTTCACGGCTACGGCACGGTGCAAGCTTCGTCAAGCTTCCCAGCTCGTAAGGCAAGGATGGTAGAGAAACAGGGTGGGGGAACGGATTGGTAGAGAAATGCTGGAAAACTGGAAATGGCGGGTTTTTGGCCCTAGCACCAAGGTGGGAGGTGCTGTGGCGAAAGTGATGGCGCCTGGATACAATTCGCCTGGTGGCTTACCCCAACCTCGCACGGCATCACAGATTCGCCTCTTCGTTTTATGTACAAGCCTGCCGCATCCATATCATGCAGACTTGTGGCGCATATTTACCTGCAAGCACCAATGGCTGCAGCAGTTGAAATGGGGCTTCTCACCGAGATAATTAAATTTCTAAATGCTATCAGGCAAAAATGATCAACTTTTTTAATTCTGCTCATTTAACTGAACTTTCCGTTGGAAACTTGAGTCAATCTGGTTTCCTGTTTTGGCCTATGGAAAAACATATATCAAAGTTACAGATGATTGTACAGCATCACATGCTACTAATACGGTTAGATAGGGTTCCACCAACTCCATTGACACATACCTCTGCCACCTTTTCCACGCTCGAAATCCTTCCATCAAGCCAGCTCCCGTCTTCTGATCCTTTTTTCGGGCCCGCTTCCAGTTCTTCCTCTGGTCTCTAGTACTTTTGCATCATAAGAGCACCAGCGCTATCGTGCTTCTTAGGATTCCGGGTTGGAAAGGTGAGGTAAGGCTATGATTCTCAAGTGAGTTTGCATCAACCAAAGCTGGCTATTTTGTCTGCGGTTCGAACTCTAATTCCGCCGATACGCTTTCGTGTTTCCGCTTCCAAATTTTCTCGTTGCGGGACGTTTTTGCGGAAATGGTGTACATCAGTGTTAAAATCTAGTACCGAAGAATCAGGCACTGCTTCAACAACGTTCCACAACATGCCTGAGAAAGTGCATTTCACTTTTTTTAGGGAAAAAGGATAGGATTGTCCGCAAGAGAAACTCGCGCTCACCCAATTGTGATGCTCTTTGTTTCTGTCATCTCCATCTCCTTCACCATTCATCCTGAATTTCGTTGTCCATTTTTGTTTATCCCTTATCACGTGTCCCAACTCATGCTCTGTTGCAGCCGCGTCGTCCCTGCCGGGGTGACAAGCCTTCCACTTGACCGTGTGCCAAGCCTTCACCGGTTCAATCTGATTGCTGAATCCCCTTACCAACTTCCACTCGAGCCTTGGAGTTGACCGTGTGTCAAGCCGCGTTGACCGTGTGTCAAGCCGCGTTGACCGTGTGTCAAGCCGCGTTGACCGTGTGCCAAGCCTTCACCGGTTCAATCTGATTGCTGAATCCACTTACCAACTTCCACTCGAGTCATTCCCATGGAGGGCGAAGGCAACGCCAGCTCTACAGGACCGGGAACGGGGTTGCCACGGCCAGTAGAATCTGCAGGTAACAGCTCCTCTCTAGAATCCTCATTCGCTCCACACCACTCCCTCCAGATTTTCTCGTTCTTTTTTCAGCTTCTTGAAGTAACCATAAACGCTCCTCCCCTTCCCCCGCTCCTCCCCTTCCCCTTCCTTCCCGTCTCCCCCACGCTCCCGTTTCACCCGTGTTTCCTTGCGCCCCTCCGACGCAACATCTCCACCAGCAACGCCTGCCATGACATCTCAATCACCATCGGCACCACAAGTGGTATCAGAGCCTCACTCCGCACCAGCAGCAGCAGCAGCAGCACCAGCAGCCACAAAGCGCCATAGCTGCCGCTCCCACCACACCAGACAGCATTCCCAGGCCTCCTCTAAAGCCCTATGAGTCAGCTGCCGCATCAGGCAGCAGCACTGCCAGCGCTTCTGAGCCTTTTGTCCCGAAGCAGCCGGTTCGGGAGGACATGGTTCGGCAGGCCGTGAGCTTCCTTTCCAACCCTAAGGTTCGGAGCTCCCCGGTTCGGTTCCGCCGAGCCTTCCTGGAGCGCAAGGGCATGTCAGCAGAGGAGATTGACGAGGCCTTCAGACGCTGCCCAGTGAGTTATTCCCAGTTTTGGGGTGGTGTGGAGGGGAAGGGAGGGGAGAAGGAACACGTGGAGGATGGGGTTGGTGGGGAGCAGGGTAGTGGGGAGCAGGGTAGTGGGAAAGTTTTTCGGCTGGAATGGAACTTTGTCTGCTGGAAAATGTACAGGGGTGGGTGGATGTCGTCTCTGTTTCGATTTCAAGTCAGTCACCTTTCTTCTTGTCCCCCTCTCGCTGCTTCCACTGCGCCCCCACCAGGACCCCGCAACAGGGTCAGAGGACGTGGAGGTGGGCTCTTCTTCCCAGCCTCTGCCTGCTGCTCGCAAGGCCCCAGCTGCCACTGCTGCTGCTGCTGCTGCTGCTGCTGAGCCAGCTGTCGCTGCCACTCCTGCTGTTGCTGGTTCTGCCGGTCCGCAGCAGCAGGCACAGCCACAGGCGCAGCAGGCGTTTTCGTGGTCGAAGCTGGCAGTGGCTCTGGCTGTTGTGGGTGCAGGCACTGCCGGCACTGCTGCCGTTGCAAAGGTGAAAAGTCTGCTGGTGGATCTCCCACTCCCACCCACTCTTAGTTAGTATTTCCTTGTGCTCTGTTCTGCCGAAACCCCTCTCTCATTCCACCCCTCCCCCTCGCTCTCCTCCCCTGCTGCCCTCGTCCCTCACCTGCCCTCCATCTTCTTATTTCGTTTCGCTTCCCTTCCCTTCCGTCCTCCCGTTACCTCTTGCTGCCATCTCCATCCGTAACCCCCGTTACCTCTTGCTGCCATCTCCATCCGTAACCCCCGTTACCTCTTGCTGCCATCTCCATCCGTAACCCCTCTGTGCCCTCTGTCATGCAGCGAATCGTCCTCCCACGCCCTGAGGCTTGTTTTGGGACGTGTGAATGTTTTTTCATCCATGGATATCTCTCCCTGCCGTGCCCCCCTTTTGAGGCGCCTCAAAAGTTCTCCCACGCCCTGAGGCCTGTTTTGAGACGTCTGAATGTTTTTCATCCATTGATATTTTAGAATTTTTAAAAATCACTCACATGTTTTTTATCCATGGATATCGCCCTGCCCTGCCCTGCCCTGCCCCTCGGCCTGTCATGCAGCGACTCGTCCTCCCACGCCTCAAGACCTGGCTCCAGGAAGCTGCAGCACAAGAAGCTTCCAAGAAAGGTACGGATGCCTGCAAGCAAGTAAGCAAGCAAGCAAGAACGGTGCTGAGCTGTCTTTTGCCTGGCTCGATTCATCTTGGCTCTTCCGCTCGTTCATTTGCATGTTTCCATGCATTCATTCATGTGTGTGTGTGTGTGTGTGCGCGCGTGCATGTGCGCGTGCGTGTGTGGGTGGCTGGCTGTGTGGGTGGGTGGGTGGGTGGGTGGGTGGGTGGGTGGGTGGGTGGGTGTGTTTGCATGCATGATTGAGAGTGCTTGCCTGCATGTGTGGTCCCCCTTCCATATGCAACAAAGGCAAGCGCCGCAGCAAGCAGGCTGCGAAGAAGGGCAGCAAGGGGAAGAAGGCAGGCAGACGACGAGGGCAGGACTCTCACCCAGGCATGCTCGAGGCGGTACGCGAGGATGGGAAGGAGGAGGTAGAGGATGAGGAGGAGGGGAGTAGAGACAGCAGCAGCAGCTCTAGTAGCAGCAGTGAGTCAGAGAGTGAGTCGGAGACAGGGGATTCAGAGAGTGAAGAGGAGAGGGGGAAGGGGAGGAGGGGGAAGGGAAGGCGCGGTGGAGGGAAGAAAGGGAAGGGCCGGGACAGGGAGGGAGGAGGGAGGAGGGGAGGCAGGAGGGAGGGAAGCAGCAAGGATGAGTCACAGGCGGCGCTGCTGCGAGCCCTTGAAGCCATGACTGCCGAGGTGCAGCAGCTGAAGGCCGCCAACGCTGCTGGTGCTGCTGCAGGTTCTGCTGGTGCTCCTGGTGCTGCTGATCCGTCTGTGGCAGCCAGAGTGGGAGCAGCAGCTGCTGGTATTGCTGCTGCGGGATCGGACATGCGCTCTGGTGAGTCCATCTGCCTGGCATCCGTTCAGGCGCAGCGCATGCACTTTATGCTCTTCCCCCCCCCTTCCTTTCTCTCCTGCTGGGCTGCCTCTCAGCCCATGTTTCACTTGCTTACATGCCTCTCCTTAGCTGATTCGGTTTCTTTCCTAAACTCGCCGTTCCATCTCCCCATTCCCACCTGCTTTGTTCCCTCCTTTCAGCCCTGGCGTTTCGTCAGCCCACCCAGCAACAGCAGCAGCAGCAGCAGCAGCAGCAGCAGCAGCAGCACAGCAGCAACGCTCCCTACGCCCAGCCCTACTCTTCTCAGGCCTACTCCCCCCAGCCCTACTCCGCCCAGCCGTGGCGGCCGTCTAGTGCCCCCACGCCCTCTTCAGCCTCTGCTGCTCTGGCCGCTGGAAGTAGCACTGGTCTTACTGGTGCGTCTGGTGCAGGTTCAGCTGGTGAAGGCTCAGCTGGTGCAGGCTCAGCTGGTGCAGGCTCAGCTGGTGCAGGGGCAGCTAACGGCCCTCCTCATCCCAAGTCCTTTTACGAGGTAAGGGATTCTGTTCCTTGACTTGGCTTTCAATCCCCCCCTCGTTCCTCTTGGACGCTCCAGATTGAACGCCTTGGATCCCCATGAGCGCACCTTATCTTGTCCCTCAATCCACCATCATTACCGAGGAAATCTCTGAAGGAAGCTTCTGAAGAGATACATTATTCTTCATTGAGAAGGACGGATGATTCATGGAGTTTTTTGTTGGATTCTGCGTGAGCAGGTGATGGAGATGGTAAAGCGAGGAGAAACACCCCCAGGCATCAAGGTAACTGCTTGCTTGCTGAGAATACTCACACGAGGCACTGTTCCAAACCATCTGTATTCAGGCGAAGGCCCCTTTTTCTTTCGGCTGAAGAGTGAACTCGATGGGGACACAAAGAAGAAGGCATGTTATCTTTAACCTCTCACTCCCAACCCCCACTCCCCACCCCATCCCCATCCCCATCCCCATCCCCATCCCCATCCCCATCCCCATCCCCATCCCCATCCCCATCCCCATCCCCATCCCCATCCCCATCCCCATCCCCATCCCCATCCCCATCCCCATCCCCATCCCCATCCCCATCCCCATCCCCATCCCCATCCCCATCCCCATCCCCATCCCCATCCCCATCCCCATCCCCATCCCCATCCCCATCCACATCCACATCCACATCCACATCCACATCCACATCCACATCCACATCCACATCCACATCCACATCCACATCCACATCCACATCCACATCCACATCCACATCCACATCCACATCCACATCCACATCCACATCCCCCTTCCCCAGGACATCAGCGACAAGCCTCCCAATCCGGAGCATCGAGGTGTGTTTTGAGGTGCCTCAGAATACACCTCAGCAACTGTCTGCCATTGTTCCCCTTCCCCCGTCCACATCCACATGCCCATTCCCCAGGACATCAACGACAAGCCTCCCAATCCGGAGCAGCCCCCCTCAGATTCCCGCCTGGCTCGCCCCCTCAAGGTATGCCGGCATGCCAGCCTCCGCCCCATCCCTGTGCAACCAGGCGCCCTGTGTTGTAAGCTGTTTTTGAAGAACTTGCAAAAAACTGCATCTTCACGTAATATGAGTGATTTTTTTAGGCGTCTCAGAAATTCACTTACATCACATCCCTGTGCAGCCAGATGCCCTGTGTTGTAAGCTGTTTTCTAGATTTTGCAGAAATTTCATCTCTATGCATTCATACCCTTCCTTTCCCTGCCCCCGTTTTCTGAGCCCCCCCACACCTCTTGCCCTTTTACTCCTTCCCCTAGGCAATGCGTTTCTGTTTCCTCTTTTTTTTTGTCGACTGTGTCTCCCCAACTCCCCCTCATCCACTTCCTTCTCTCCCCAACTCTTCCTCATCCCTGCATCCCCTTCTCCTGTTCCACGCTCTCCCTCCTCACTGTTGGCTTTAATCCTGTGAAGTAGCCCTGGGAGGCTGCAGCAGCACAGCAGGCAGTCGCCAGCAGCACAGCGCCCGCAGCAGCACCAGCAGGAGTAGGATCAGCAGTAGGGGGGACAGGAGGAGCAGGAGCAGGAGTGGGAGGACGAGGGCAGGCAGGCAGGGCGCAGTCTGCAGGCATTAACTCTGCGTACCGACCGTACCCACCCAACCAGCCATATGCACTCAATCAACCTTACTCAGGCACTCAGGCATACCAACCCAACCAGCCATACCAGCAGCAGCAGCAGCAGCAGTTCGGCCACCCGTCTGCTTACAACCATGGTGCCATGGGATCAGCAGCTTATGGTGCTACCAACGGGGGTGACTATAACGGAGGGATGGGCTACACTGGTGTGAGTGGTGGTGGTGCGAGTAACGGCTCCGTGGAGGATGCTCCCTGGTCCTGCCGCCCGCCTGCCACGTCATCATCAGCTACTGCTGCTGACTCAGCAGCCGCAGCCGCTGCCTCTGGAATGTTTTCCGATTCTCCCAGTGGAGAAGCATCAGGGGGCGCAGCAGCGGAGACAGCAGGGGGAGCAACAGTCTCAGGTGTCCCATCAGGTGTCCCATCAGGTGGACCATCAGGGGGCGCATCAGGTGGAGGGTGGTGGAAGCCACCAGCCCTGTTGAAGCCAGTGCTGCCAGAGGCAGCCACAGCCATCCGCCAGTGGCCGGCAGCCAGGGCTCCCAACTACTGGGGCAGCCCTTCCGCCTCCTCCCCTGCTGATGCCCCTGCGGCTGACGCCCCTGCTGCTGCTGACCGCCCTGCTGCTTCTGACCCAGCTGCTGCTCCTCCGGGTAACCCTGCTGCTGCTTCTGCTGGAGCTGCTCTCCCTGATGGTTCCACTGGTGTGCCAGATGCTGCTGCTGCTGCTGCTGCTGCTGCTGCTGCTGGTCTTGCAGGGTTTGGTGCATCCGTACCAACATTTGCTCCTCCCGAAGCTGCTCCCGCTCCTTCTCCTGTTCCTCTCCCACTGCCCCCTGCTCTCGGTGTGCCTTCGGCTGCCCCAGCAGCATCATCTGCTGCAGTAGAGGCTGCTCCACCCTCTGCAATGGCTCCTACAGCCGCTGCAAGGACAGCGGCAGTGATTGATGTCCCCTCTCGGCCTGCTTTGGTCCTGGGAGGGTTGCAGCCCAACAATGGCAACGGTGAGGTGGCAGAGAGGGGCAGTGCAGGAGCAGCAGCATCAGAGGGAGTGAATGCAACGACAGAGGTGTAGCACTGATTGTAGCAGCAGCACTGTCTGTGATAACCCCGGCAGGCTCTGCATCAGGGATTGATGTTCCTTCTGACCCTGCTTTGGTGCTGAGAGGGCTGCAGCCCAGTAGCAGCAACGGCGAGGTGGCAAGGGGGGGGGGGGAGTGCAGGAGCAGCAGCATCTGAGGAAGTGAATGCAATGACGGAGGTGTAACATTGAACTGCTGTAACAGCATTTAGCAGAGGGATGCAGGATTGAGGTCAAGAGGAGCGTGGGTGGAGCAGGAGAGTTGCAGAAAACAGAATCATTGTCGAATAAAAGGAGAAGATTTTGGTAGTGGGAGATGATGTTTTTTCTCTAGGGAAACAATTTGCTGTAAATAGAACAATAGGTGCTGGTACTGGTACCAGTTTTGCTTTGATGCGTGAGAGGGCGTTGTTGTGACGTTGGGTTCTGGTTGTGAGCCAGAGAGAGCTGTGGAGTACACAGTAAGAGGAGATAAACATTAGGGAGCTTAACAGTTCAGCCATTTTGTTTTGCAGTGCTCGATTGCTCCATTGCAGGCACCTGGTTTCCTGGAAACAACTATTTTTATTTCTGCGTTAAGGTTTTGTTGCTTTTGAGTAATGTACCCATTTTGGGTCAAAACAATTGTTATCGAGTTACCGTTCGTAGCTTTCGCGAGCAACACTTCTGCGAGCTGAACAGGATCGCCCTTAGCGCTTCACAATGCCTCGCATGCAGTAGACGTCGCAGGGCCGGCGCATGCGACGAATTCAGTCGCAAACATCACGCGCCTCGCACGTGCGACTCGCGTCCATGCCAGCATCTTGACGCCCACAATGTCATTCGCTCTCGCCTTCCCCCGTTATCGCCTTCCAAATAGTTTCCGTCATTTCCGGATTTCTGTCAACCTCAATGTGCTGCCTTTTCCCGCCGCTTCCGCTCCCTCTCCCGCCGCCCCCCCAGCTCCGCCTTCCCCGCTACTTCTCTCTTGCTCCTTTCTCCGCGCGCATTCCCTCTCCCGCGCGCGTTCCGCCGCCAGCGCCCCGCCGCCGCTCTCCACGCCACATAGAAGCCCTTCCGCGTCTCACCCGCCTCACGCGCAACACGCGCCGCTCCCCTTGACCTTCCGCGCGGCATGCCGCGCGCTTTACGATTCCCGATGGGTAACCACGCGCGCAGAATTCGCGGGGGATGCGGGTGACGCCCCGAGGGAGCAGGCGGAGTGTATGGTGGTGGGCGCGGGGGCGGCGGGGCGGGAAGGGCGGAGGGGTGGGGAAGTGACTCCTGGCGAGGCAGTTGCAGGCGTTGCCACGGCGTCACCCGCGCCGGGTCCTGCTATGGCGTCACCCGTGGATTTTGAGGCGTGTGAGCGCGAGCAGGCGGAGTGTGTGGTGGTGGGCGCGGGCGCGGTGGGGCTGGCGGTGGCGCGCGCGCTGGCAGTGGCGGGGCGGGAGGTGGTGGTGGTGGAGGCGGGGGGAGCGGTGGGGGGCGGCATCAGCTCGCGCAACAGCGAAGTGATTCACGCTGGGCTGTACTACCCTCATGGTTCGCTCAAGGTACCTTAAGGTTCATGGCACGAGCATATTTTCTCAAGGTGTGTTGAGGGATATAGGTGTGTTGAGGGATATAGGTGTGTTGAGGGATATAGGTGTGTTGAGGGATAAAGGTGTGTTGAGGGATATAGGAGTGTTGAGGGATATAGGTGTGTTGTAGGGTCATAGCACGAAGTGATTCATGCTGGGCTTTATTACCCGCTGCCTGCATGGTCAGCTTTAACTGCGTGGAAGGTTGTGGGGTGGTGAGGGGGCAGGAGAGGGGAGGAAGTGGCGGGGGCATTGGAGTCGCTATTGAGATTAGTCACACACGCCACCCCACTTCCTGAGAAGTGGGGTCTTCAGAAGAGATTCATGCCTGGCTGTACTACCCACACGTGTCGCTCAACATGTGCGCAAGGAAGAGATGCGATGGTGCTTGCTCTTGGTGTGTGCTGCTCAGATCAAGGTATAGGCTTTTCTACTCCTCACACACATATGTGTTCCGTCCCCCCCGTCTCCCTTCCCCTATCCCCACACCCCATGTCCCCACACCCCCATACCCCTACGCCTCCAGACCCCATTACCTCATATCCCCATCCTCCTCCCTCCCACACAATACCCCCCATGTCATGATGACATATATGTGTTCATCATGCTCCCAACGCACCAACCTTCCTCTGCTGGCGTGGCAGGCACGGCTATGTGTGGAGGGGCGGCGACAGCTGTACGCGTTCTGTGAGGACAGGGGAGTGCCGCACCGCAGGGTTGGCAAGCTGGTGGTTGCCACGTCAGCAGACCAAGTGCCACAACTGGAGCAGCTTAAGGCGAGTACAATTAATCTGCCGTGCTGCCACGTCATGCTGCCACGTCATGCTGCCATGCCCCCATGCTGCCATACTGCCATGCTTCCATGCCATATCATGCTGGTGTGCCCTTATGCCCCCATGCTGCCAGCCAGCCATGCTGCAGCATCCCTCATGCTGCACTGCTCAACCTCTCCTCCCGGCTCTTTCCAGTCGAAGTGAGTCTCAATGCCTATGACCCCCACTTCGCCTCTTACAAACTCATTCCCACCACTCTCTCTTCTGCTCCCTGCTCATGGGACTGTCTCATCCCGGCCCACCATCCGCACTGTCTCTGCTGCTCCCTGCTCGCCTTCATGTGCCGTGCTGCTGGGGTGGAGGGGCTGCAGATGGTGGGTTAGGACGAGACTTGTTTTTTAACCCAACAGTCGCTGAAAATTCCCGTTGTCGCCCTTGTTTGCCTTTCTGCTCCCGTGCCACCAGAGCCACGCGGAGGGCAACGGGGTGGAGGGGCTGCGGATGGTGGGCCGGGAGGAGGCGAGGGGAATGGAGCCACGGGTGGAGTGCCATGCTGCGCTGCTGTCACTACACACCGGCATTGTGGATTCGCATGCTCTCATGCTCGCCCTGCAGGTGATGAGAGGACTCTAAACAGGTACCTGAGACAGCACTGCTGTCTCTCTGCACTCAGTGAAGGGGATGGTAACTTATCCAACACACTCAGCCATCTTGTTCTCACACCGCTTTTGAAGCGCTAAACAGTGATGCCTGATCTCTCACACCCCTTACATGCACTTGTGAATCTCTTCCTCCAAATAAGGTTGTTGAGAGTGAGGTGACTTTTGAGTCGACTCAAAAATGCACTTGTGAAGCGCTTCCTCCAGTTTTGAGGCGCCTCAAAACTAGACTTCCTCCAGATACGGTTGTTGAGAGTGAAGCACTTGTGAAGCACTAAAAAGTGGTGCCATCTTTTGAGAATTCTCAATAGCGGCTCAGATTACGCTCTCTCTTTTACGCTCTCTCTCAGAATTCCCTGCCTTGCATTATCCTCCGCTCCTGTCTCGCAATCTCGCTTTAAACCTCCCGCACTTGCTTATTCCCCTCTCTCTCACCTTCCGCTCTGCCTCTCTCTGTGCCTTCCCTGCGCCACCAACAGAGCAGGCAGAGGCAGAAGCAGCAGGTGCCCTATTCGCTTTCAACTCAGCAGCACTGGGCATCCAGGCCAACCCACCCGACCGCTTCCCACTCTTCACCACCATCAAAACCTCCTCCCCTACCAGCAACAGCAGCAGCAGCAGCAACAGCAGCTGCAGCAGCAGCAGCAGCACCACCACCAGCAGCAGCAGCACAATCACGTTGCTCTCCTCGCGCTACCTTGTGAACGCAGCTGGGCTTGAAGCCGTTCCCCTCGCACACCGCGCCCGTCTCAAAAGAGAGCCCCACATGGAACCCCAACTGCCTCCCCTGAACCCATTCACAAGGGTTTGCAGCCCCCCCAATGGCACTGCATCACTACCTCCCCCACATCTACCTCCCCCTCATCTACCTCCCCCACATCTACCTCCCCTCTACCTCGCTCGAGGTCATTACTTCGCCCATGCGGGAGCACCGCCCTTCTCCCGCCTTGTGTACCCGCTGCCGGAGCCGGGGGGCCTGGGCGTGCATGCCACGGTGGACCTCGCCGGTCGAGTGCGGTTCGGACCAGACGTGCAGTGGTTGGACTCGGTTCCGCTCTCTGCTGCTCACGGCATGCCCATCAGGTGTGGCTCTAGGTCTGGTGCGCATCAAAAGCCTTTTTCCGAGGTGCCTGAAAGGGCTGTTCTTGGCATGCCGCATGCCCATCAGGTGTGCCGTTCTGAAAGGGCTGTTCTGAAAGGGCTGTTCTGAAAGGGCTGTCCTGGAAGGGCTGTCCTGAAAGGGCTGTTCTGAAAGGGCTGTTCTGAAAGGGCTGTCCTGAAAGGGCTGTTCTGAAAGGGCTGTTCTGAAAGGGCTGTCCTGAAAGGGTTGTTCTGAAAGGGCTGTTCTGAAAGGGCTGTCCTGAAAGGGCTGTTCTGAAAGGGCTGTCCTGAAAGGGCTGTTCTGAAAGGGCTGTCCTGAAAGGGCTGTTCTTGGCATGCCGCATGCCCATCAGGTGTGGCTTGAGCTAACGGCATGTGATACATGTGTGGCACCTGAAGCGCGCTATCTTGCATACCCCGACTGTATTCCTTATCACTCCATTCCGCTCCACTCCTCGCCAGCTACGACTACTCGACCCTGCACGGGCTGAATCCTTGCACTCGCCAATTCCCAAGTAATGCCCGTCCCTGGCGAGCGGCTCTCTGCAATCTCCCCCTCACCCCTCTCCACTTCCCACTCCACTCCTCTTCACTCCTCCCCATGGCAGCTACGACTATTCAGTGGACCCTCGAAGGGCTGAATCCTTCTACTCGGCGATCCGCAAATACTGTCCGACGCTGGACGATGGCTCTCTGCAAGCCGACTATGCGGGCATCCGACCCAAACTCACCGCCCCAGGAGAACCTGCTGCTGACTTCTTGATTCAGGTGAGGTGGGTGGTGAGAGATGGGTGGTGAGAGATGCCTGATGCGCCCTGTGTGCTGTGATGCCCTTGTAACACTGCCTGCCGCTGACTGCCCGAGTTCTCGTGACTCATCCTGTCCCCTCCCAATGAAATTGTGCCAACAGACCCACACCACACACTGCATGCCAGGTCTCATCCACCTTCTCGGCATAGAGTCCCCAGGGCTCACCTCGTGTCTTGCCATAGGCGAGTACGTAAAGCAGCTACTGTAGTACGGTATGTGCGTGCTTGCAGGTAGTGCACTGCAACAGTGCTGCATTGCAGAGCTCCTAGAGCTCACCTCGTGTCATGCCATTAGCAAGCATGTGCAGAACCTGCTATAGCCTTCCTGCAGCATGCTTCTGTGACCCGCTGTGTCAATGCCCACACCCTTTTTTGCCCACATAGAAGGGGCGTGCTGCCAGTTAAACTTTATGTCTCAAAAGCAGTCTTTTTTGCCCACATAGAAGGGGTGTGCGACCAGTTAAACTCTCCCACGTCCTTCTGTGGAGCTGTGAGTAACTTTTTATCTACCCATGCACCACAGTATGTTGCTCCTAAAATATTTTGGCTTGAATTGGAGCACGTGGCGAATGCAAGATTCTGCGCTGAGGGTTTCCTAGACGATGCAGAGTGTCAAAATAAAGAATGGATGATGCATTGATGTTGGTTGGGGTACAAATAGCTAACCCTAAGTTTTGTACCCCCTAAGACAAACCTCACTATAGGCTACAACATTTGACACACCCCCATAGCCTAAGTGAGGGGTGTCTAGCAGAACCAAACGAGTACGGTCACAAGACCAGTCCAAGAAACGAAGCTCAGGGTGGATCACAACGTCACCACACAGTCTGAGCACAAACAACAGTGGCCACAAGGCCAGTCCAAGAAGTAACAGAGATATATAGAAAGCAAAGTAAACAGTACACTCAAGTCTAAGCAACACGAGAACCAGTGTCAACAAGGCCTAACTGCACACAGCACCTCTGGTGGTCACAAGGCGGAAGCGCCTTGGTGAAGATGTCTGCAGTGTTGGCCTCGGACTCCACAAACTCAAAGCGAGCCTGTCCACGCCTCTGCAACTCTCGCAGAAGAAAGTACCTGACGTGAATGTGCTTCACTCTGCTCTCCAGTCGTGGCTCTCGACAAAGGAGAATAGACGCCTTGTTGTCAGTGAACAAGGTCGGTGCAGAGCTCGGCCGCTCACCAAGGTCGGTGAGCAAGAACGTCAACCAACGCAGCTCTTGTGCCGCCATGGCACCAGCGTAGATCTCAGCCTCAGCTGTAGAGGTCGAGACCGAAGAGGAGCGCGTGGACCGCCAGGAAACAGCTCCAGAACCCAGGCTGAAACAGTACCCCTGAGTAGACCTGTGAGTCTCAGCGTCGTCAGCGTAAGAGGAGTCACAGTGACCAGTAAGTACGACAGACTGCTGCCCTCCAAGAACTAGCCCCACGCCTGATGTCGTCGCTAGGTACTTCGCCACCCTCACAGCTGCTGTCCAGTGAATAGGACGGTGTCTCCCTGGCGCAACAAAGCGCGCAAGAACGCTGAGAGGGAAGGCGAGGTCCGGGCGAGTACAAGTCATCAGGTACATGAGGCAACCCACAAGCTCTGCGTAGGGACCACTAGGCTCGAACGGCTCGTCAGGAAAGGGTCCAGTGAGTCTGTGGTCAACAGCAAGAGGTGTGCGCTGTACTGTGGAGTGCTGAAGCCCGAACCGCTGAAGGACCTGCTGCACCATGTGTGACTGTGAAAGTGTAATGGTGCGAGCAGCTCTGTCCCTGGTGATCTGCAGGCCAAGGTAGTGGCGCAGCTCACCAAGATCAGTGCAGGTGTGTCTCTTCTGCAGTTCGGACTTCACGTGTGCCAAAGCAACCCTGTCAGGAGTGGCGAAAACAAGGTCGTCAACGTAGACCAGAACAAAGAAAGGTGTGGAGCCACGACGAACGAACAGCGACGGGTCAGCAGAAGAAGGCTGGAACCCAAGGTCAGACAGGGTAGAACGCAGGGTGTCGTGCCACTCACGAGGAGCCTGACGAAGACCGTAAACCGGTCGCCTCAGTCTCCACTGGGTCCCAGGAGGGAAAGAGCCAGTGAAGGCAGAGGGACGACGCAACCAGACCTCCTCGTGAAGACTGCCCTGAAGGAAAGCAGTAGAGAAGTCGAGAGAGTGTAACTCGTAGTCTCTCTGTGCTGCTACGTGTAGTAACACCCGAAGAGTGGTCATCTTCGGGGTGGGCGCGAAGGTCTGAAAGAAGTCAACTCCCTCGCGCTGACTGAAACCTCTAGCCACGTAGCGCGCCTTGAAGACCGGAGGAGATCCCGGTGGCCGCTTCACCCTGTAGATCCACATGCCGTCGACTACGTTCGCCCCCGGAGGGGGAACCTCATCGACGTAGGTGCCTGTGGATCTGTAGGAGGCCATCTCTGCGTCCATGGCAGCTCTCCACTGAGAGGCCCAAGGCCCTGACACTGCCTCAGCGTAAGTGCGAGGAGTCGGAATGTCAAGGGCGTCGGGGTCACCCTCAGGGGCGAGGAGCATGGCACAGAGATGAGGGGAAGCGGCCGCCAGGAACTCTAGCTCAAACTGCCTGTCCTCTAGGGCGTCACAGCCAAGGGCAGACACACCCCCGACGGCCAGAGGACTGGAAGGAGGAGCAGCCACAAGAGCGGTGGCGAAGTCAAGGCGGCGGGTAGAGGCAAACTCAGTGACTGCGGCAGTAAGAGCGGACACAGAGGACACAGAGGCACGAGGGTGGGTAACAAGAGAGGCGAGAACACAAGAGAGAACAGGACGGTACGAGCGGTAGTAGTCAGTGACAGGAGAAGGAAGCGACACAGTGAGGGCCGACTCAGGAGGAGACGGAAGCACAGACGGAGACGGACGAGGTGGACGAGAACAAAGGAAGGCTGTACGAAGGTCAGTGAAGGGAACAGGAGACGAGGGACGAGCACGAGGGGAGCGACGAGAGGCCCAAGTCTGAGAAGGAGGAGGAGACAACGAAGACTGAGAACGAGGGAAAACAGCGGGAGAGGGGTCAGGAGGAGGAAGCGGAGGACCAGAGACGGGAGGAGAGGGGGAGGAGGAAGGAGAGGGAGACGGGAGACCAAGGGTCCGAAGACCCGAGACAGGAGGAGGAGACGGCAGCAGCTGCTGCTGCTGCTGCTGCGGCTGCTGCGGCTGCTGCTGCTCCAGCGGCTGCTGCCCCTGCTGCTGCTCCTGCTGCTGCTCCCGCTGCTTTGCTCCTGCTCCTCGAGCCGCTGCAACTCTCTCTCCTCTCTCTCCAACTCCAGCTGCTCCTCACGAGCACGGCGAACACGAGCCTGGAACCTGGTCGGGTAGGGGTGGGGGGAAGGAGTAGTGTCCGGGGCAGCGGCAGCCCCAGAGTCGACCTCCGAAGCACCAAGCACACCACCCCCAGAGGCAGCACCAACACCAGCTCCAGACCCAGGCTCACCAGAACCTGAAGGAGGCGCACCCTCACCCCCAGACGCAGCACCCCCAGACTCCGCACCAGCACCCCCAGACTCCGCACGACCAGTACCAGCCCCCGGAAGACAAGAGTCCTCTGCAACCCGCGGCTCAGCTCCAACTCCAGCACCCCCAGAACCAGAGACCTGTACAGGGACAGTCGCAGGACCAACCTCCCGAGAGGGAGCACCTGCAGGAGGCGGCGAGGAAGACTGTGGGGAGGGAGGCTGTACAGGGGGGGCTACCGAAGGGGGAGGGCTAGCCTGAGACACACCAGACGGGGCTGGACCAGGGGGGGGAGGCTGTACCGGGGGAGCAGGCGGGGGAGCGGCTGTCAGGAAGAGGGGGGGAGGAGGAACCGGGAGACCTCGACTGGGGTACCTGACGTAGTACGGGGTGGACTCCTCGAAACGGACGTCACGGGAGTCAAAGAACCGGTGAGAGGGAGGGTGGTAAAAGGTGAAGTCAGAGGAGTCCTCAGGGAAACCAAGGAAGACACAAGGAACGGCGCGAGGCGAGAGCTTGTCCGCGGAGGTGTCGCGGACAAGAGCCAAGCACCCCCAGACACGAAACCTCGACGCGACACCAGGGGACCCTGTCCAAAGACTGGTCGGTGAAGCCTCCGGCCGAGAGACGCGTGGCCAGAGGTTCAGCTGGTGCGCGGCGTACCTGACCGCGTATGGCCACAGGAAATGGGGGGCACGGGCGTGAGTCAAGGAGGTGCGGGCAATCTCCATGACCAGGCCTATGCGACGCTCAGCAACCCCATTCTGCTGTGGGGACTCCGGAAGCGTCCAGGACTGACGAATGCCCTGTTCGCGACAGAATCCAGCGAGAATGCCGGAGCGAAACTCGCCCCCGCGGTCGGAGTGGAGACAGCTGACACGACGACCACGAGTGTCCTGGGTGGTAAGCAACCACCTGATCAGCGTAGAAGTCACCTCAGACTTCCTCGCCAGGGGGAACACTGTGGTGTAGCGGGAGTAGTCGTCAACGACCACCAAAAAGAAACGCTCACGCTCAGGGCCAGGGCGAGGAGAAGGGCCCCAGACGTCCAAGTGCAGCGTCTCAAAAGGCTCGGTGGCCGGACGAAGGGAGGAGGAGTGAGGGGTGGCACGCAGCCTACCCTCGACGCAAGGACCGCACGGTGGTGCAAGGGACGGCGGCAGCGACGGCGAGAGACGCGGGAGACCTAAGACCAGACGCTGACTAGACATAGCACGCAGACGTGGAAGAGAAGGGTGTCCCATCCGGTGGTGCCACAGAACGGTGGGGTGGGCAAGGGACCGGCAGGAGCAAGACGCAGCGACTGGACTGGACGCGACAACCTGAGGGGACGGAACCACCTGGTGAGACGCAGGGAGGAGACTAGGGGGAGGGACAGGAACTGGGAGGAGTGGCTGCTGCGACGGCGGCCGCTGTGGCTGCGGCTGCGGCTGCTGCCGCTGCTGCTGCTGCGGCTGCTGCTGCTGCTGCTGCTGCGGCTGCTGCTGCTGCTGCAGTCGCTGCTGAGCGCGCGGGCCAGTGTGAAGAGTGTAGAGACCGGAGCCCGGCTCAGCAGCAAAAGTGGCGAGGGGCTGGTAAGAGTCCCCGTCAACACACACCGCAGTCTCTCCAGAAGGCTCAAACCACACACCCACGTGCTGACTCACGAGGGGTCGCACGCCCACCAAGTTCCGGGAGAACGAGGGGACGTGAAACCCAGTGAGAGACCCAGAAGGAGCAGCCGGACACGGCAAGGTGGTAGTGTGACGCGCGGT